CCTATTCCTCAAAATTTCTCACCCAGTTACGCTGCCCACACCACCCCATTTGTCACACATGAAGTAGCCATGAGAAACCTCCCACTTTCCTGCCCTCTCTATGCATAAGAACAGAAAGACAGGAATGTCATGCCTGACCTGAGCAAGACACTCTCAGCAAACCTGCCCCGCTCCACAAACATCAGGAAACCACACAAGCACCATTCCTTGGGAGTATAACCCCATTCTGAAACCCTGTATAAACTTAACTTCTCTGGCCAGCTGCTGACGTCGGCCACAATCTCAGCCTGTCTGCACCCAGACAGAAATAAATCCAGCCTTTGCTCACATAAAGCCTGTTTCTGGGTGGTTTCTCATGCGCTGTTTGTAACATTCCCTTCCAGGTTCCACTAAAATCTCACCACTTGAGACTGGAAATTAGATAATTACACCTACTGAAAACATTTTAATTGCTTAATTGGGTTAAATTTATTTCAAAGCATCAAGTTATCTCCCAGAAAACAAACTGAAAGATTTAAGGTGAGCATTTAAAGTTAGTTCCAGAAGACTGTTGCATATGTTGTACACCTCCTGCTTATGAACTTGCCCAACCATAAAACGTCATATTAAATATTTCTGAACATGTCTTTATGCTTTATATTTTATATATATAAAATATATGAAAATATCTATATATGTTAATGATTGAAATAAGATACTGATATCCAAGTACACTTTGCATTTTTCCAACATTATATATTAAGAGAAAACTTCAAATGCCTACAGGAACTCAAGCATGTGGGGCCGGTACGCAATGCAAGCCATGTGGGATGGCAAGAACAGAGGAGCCCAGGACCCCTCTAGGACAACCGCCCTTTAGACATCTGTTGGTGTTTACATAGCAATCGCAATACACTGAGCTTCAGTACTTTTCAAGAGAACCTACTATCTTTTCTCTCTCCCTTTCACCCTCCCTCTTGCATAGTTGTGAAATACAGGTTCCCCAAAGTTGAATCACTGGAGTCCAATTACAGGGGTCATGGTATATTTTTTTTAAAAAATTAAATCTTGCTAAGCATTTTGGATTAAAATGTTGATGTAATTTACAAATAATTCACAGATAAGTGTTTTTAACCCCCTGCAGCTCCCACAGAAGTAGCTGTCATTACTGTATTTCAGTAACCACCTGTGTGCAAAGCATGGGATCTAACTAATTGGCACTTTTCTAATAAGCTAAAATCTTTTCAAATGTATATGTGTACTTCCTACTCCTTAAATTCATTCTTGGCTCCAGGCGTCCCGGTGCATGCCTGTAATCCCAGCACTTGGGATGCTGAGGCAGGAGGATTGCGAGTTTGAGGCCAGCCTGGGCTGCAAAGTGAGCTGCAGGCCAGCCTGAACTGCATAGCAAGACTCTGTCTTGGAAAGACAAAAATAAATTTATTTTTTGGCATTTCTTGATCATATCTTCATTGCCAATTCTTCCTGTAATTAAGAAGTGCTTTCTAAATGTCTGTCATACTGTTTTCTCTAGTTTATAAGTTGTCTGGTTTTCTATATAAATTTTATGTCAGAATACCTTTGTGATTATGCAGTTTCTCTGTTGAAATGATGTCCTTTACATATTCAAGAAATATTTCTTCTAATTTTGTTGTCAGGATTTAAAATTTCTTCTGTATTTTTTGCATAAAATGTAATGAAAGGGCCAATTTTGTTTCTTCCATATTTGTAACCAATTATTAACCATTTCAATTAAATTGAACAATTTAAATTACTAAATTAGTTTTAGCGAATGTTGCATTTCTGCATATGCTGGAATATACTTGCTATAGCTTTGTGGCAGAGTGCATTCTTTGCACACAGAAGGTCCTGCATTCAATCCCTAGCACTGCCAAAACAAAGTATTCAGTCTAATGCTAACACTGTACTGCTTTTATACCTGTACTGTGCTTTTAATTACATTAGTAATTGCATAGTGCAAGTACTACTACCCTCATGCCTCTTCAAAAATGGCTTGGTCTGTTTTCTGACACATTTTCTATATGCATTTTGAAATAACTTGTTAATTTCTTAAAAACATGGAATGGGTACACTTTAAAATATTAACTTTTACCATTCTAGAAAGTGGATCCTACTTTATATTTAAGCCAGATTTTCGGTTCTTCTATAAAATATTGAAATTTTCTTGAGTTAGATCCTATGACTTTCTTGAAATATTTATTCTTACACATTTTGTACTTTTTTTTTGCTCTCACAAATTACATTTTCCTTAATTTATAATAGATGGTCAGTAATGAAAAAGTTTTATTAAACATTTAATTTTAGAATTGTTTTGAATTTACAGAAAAAACGAAATGATGGCATTACAGACAGCTAAGTTATTGGAAATATTATAGGCAGCCAGACAAAAGATAAAATGACGACACTCACATACCTCCCTAGGGATGAACAGCACTGATTGAAACTAAACTTTAAACAGGCACCCATCACCTTGGGCGGGAGACCAAAACCTCCCTTTTAGAAAAGCCCCTGTTTGGCCCATGTGCGTGTGCTGTATGACTTGCTTCACCATTTGACCCCCACTGAATCAATATTACCTGAGCAATGACACTCCTGATCTCATCGGTTGACCAGTTTTGTCCCGCCTCATACCCACCTTCTGATTCCCACTAGATCAATGTTACTGCAGCGACTACACTTGTAACCTTATTAGTTGGTTGTAGTTTTGTCTCACCTCAAACCCACCTGATGATATTCTACCGGGTCAATGTTTACAATCTTATTAGTTGGTGATAGTATGGTCCCACCTTAGACCTGCCTTACCTCATGGTTTTGCTCATAAAACTTCCTTAAGAAGCAGGGTCCCTGGCAACCCACTCCAGACCTCTTCTTTCTTAGAAACCTTCTTCCCCTCAGTAAATATTTTTTGCTCTTAACCTCCGGTCCTAGAATTCATTGTCTGATTTTAGAGAAAATGAACTAAGCATATCAGACATCTAGCAGGCTAGCAGGCTTGGAATTATGCTTCCCTTGTATTATTTATTAATTTCCTGTATGTTATTTTGGATATTCCTGTATCATCCCTATATCAACAGTACAGACCTTCCCATATGCCCCACAACCTTTATCCTTATGACCTAGGATTTACATTAATTATTAAGGTATCTTTGCCATAAGTAACCCATTTATGCCAATGAGTACAATTTTTAAAATTTTTGCATGAAATTTATATATATTACCTAAAACAATTCAAGGAACAAGATTTTATTTTTTTTTTCGGTACTGGGAATTGAACTCACGACCTTGCACTTGCCAGGCAGAAGCTGTGCGGCTGAGCTAAGTCCCCAGCCCCAAGGAACAAGAATTTGAAGAGAAAAAATTTATTATATTCCATTGTTATGGGTGTTCCAAAAATGGGATGCGAGGCATAAAAAGATTAATACATTCTTGACACATTTTTATGGGTCTTACCTTCTCCTTTCCCACTACACGGGTATTCTCCAAGGAAGACATCTTTCCCATCCATATTGGGGATCGAATCCAGGACCTTGTGCATGCTAGGTTCTGTTACTGAGCTGCATTCTCAGCCCTAGACAATATGCTTTCCAGACTTTTCAAGATCAGGCATCTGAGAAGTTGCCCTTCCTACACATCTACAATACTGGTCGTCAGAGCCTACACTCCAGTGAACGTGTTGACATGGCCTTCAGTTTCCTCAACACAATATTTGGAGGAAGTTACCCATTTCCAAATCTCACTTGGACAAGCCTAATGTTCCACAGGATGTTACAGGGATCCCATTTCCCTGTGGATGAGGGAAATGAAGGCAGTCTCTAACATATTTAGGTATATACACAGGTATTAGCAGATTGGGTTAGACTTTTTATTTTGGTACCGAGAATCGAACTCAGGACCTTGTGCTTGGCAGGCAGGCCCTTCAGACTTCTTTAATACACTGTATTCCAAATCATATCTGAGGAAATGATTCTGCTTTAGGTGGTTCAAAAATGTTTGAAAGATACTTGAACTGGATAACTGGTAAGTCCATTTATCATTATTTATTGAAAAATCTGTTTATATATATAGGTGATCTGCTTAATATCAAACCTATTATGATTGGGAGATATATGTTATGATGTTCCTTTCCTAAGGCCAGCCTGACCCAGAGAATATTTTTCAGTAGACTTGCTCCTGGCAATCTGGAAAGGGAGAATGTTCCAAGTAACATTTCTATCAATAAACAGTTCCAGGTAACACTTCTATTGATAAATACACTGCTAACTGCCATACTTGGCTCACTTATCCAACGTTCAGAAAGGACATTTGCAAGCATGTCGGTGTTTGGGGGATGTGTGCTCTTAATGGTTTCCTAGTCAAAAAGGTTCCAAATGTTCTTTTGTTTTTTCCCCCTAGTAGCAGTAACTGTTGTTTTAGATACTTGGAGAGGCTTCTGAGTTCTCACTTTTTGGCTATGCAATACAACACAAGCTCTTTGGCTCAAGAACTTCAACTTTAACATAGCTTATCAAATTTGGATTTATTTTGTTTAGAAAATTGAGTTCTTCAACATTACCCCAACTCACCCAGCTTCATCAACCAAGGTCTAGCAGTGGTAAGAACAAATCGACATCTACCTTTTGCACTTAACGTTCAAATGTACAGGTACATTTGCTCCACTAGTATGTGAAGACTTTCACAGTGAACTGCCCACTCACGGGGTAGTTGAGAATTACTTTCAGTATTCTTAGGCAAGGTGACACAGACAAAGATAACACAAGCCCATAAACACGGCCTCTGAAGCCTAAAATTGCTACTAATGTTAGCAAGCTCATTGACTTAACGAAAGGGGCTTGCCCTACTATGTACTCAGCTCTGTCCTAGTGCCTGGGACAGAGGGATAAACAGGAGCCACTTCCGCACACACAGATTAGAACTTAATGAGGAAACAAGTGAAATTACTTAAGTCTTGAATGAGCCAAAGTATTTGTTTTGAATTGTAAAAAACTACGAAGAACACCGAATGAATTACCAAACATCAGACTTTATTTGAACATCGTCAGTTTTTTCACTGTCTTTTTCTTCTCCCAGGCGTCAAAACAGTGTTCACAGTCTTCAGATGCCCTGTCTCATGCGGCTCTTCTGATTTGCGATAACTTCTCAGTATTTCCTTATGCTTCACGACCTTAATAATTCTGAGGAGTACGGGGCTCACCAATATCCTGTGGAAGGTCTTCCATCTGGGTGGGTCTGACATTTTCCTCACGATTACACTGGAGTTCTGGGTTTGTGGAAGATGCAGAGGTGAAGTGCTCGTCACGTAACCCAGGACGCAGGCCAGCGACCTGATGAAAAGGCGGGAGCTTTCACCATAGGCTTACAGCAGGCTGAGGCCTTTCTTTGCTGTAAAGTTGTGACAGTTTTCCAAACTCGACATTTTTATCAGTGAGTATTTAGTGTAGCCCATCCATAAGCAGTGCAAGTTTAAACTCTACCTCCTGGAGGTAAGAGTAACTGACATTTCTAATGATTAACTGGAATATTTCTGTCAAGAAGAATTGTCTTTTCTACCCCATTTATTTTACATTGTGAAATTTATTCTTATTTACATAAATGAGTTGGAGTTCATGTATATATCTGATACTTAGTATTACAACTCACAAATCCAATACTGTGTTTTTTATTTTGTTGCTCAAATTATTCCAGATTTGACCACTAGGGGCTAATTTATTTTATTATTTTATTAATTTAGAAGGTCAATTTCTTCTAACATAACAATCCTACACTGTAACTCAAGCACTGAGATCTTTTACCTAAGCTAAGCCCTTTCTCCCTCAATGATGCTGGAATTGATTAAACATTCTCACGTGTCTTGTGCCATAAATGGACGCCTCTTTTGAGACCGATGCAAAGCGTTGCCAGATGGATGCCTGCTGGTCAGCCTGTCGGCCTTAGTGCTGGCACGCTTACTTGCGAACACTCTAACCATCGATTTTCCAACATAAAATACACAACTGTCTTCCTTGAAGATGAGGAAGCAAAATTTTAGCTGGATGTCAAACAGTCACCAGGAGGGTCCTAGAACTAGTAGGAATCTAAGGGAGTCTTTATACGCAGATATTCCTCCTACTGCACCTTTTTAACTTGCAAACATGTTTCAGAGAATCCTACCTAATATCAACACTATGGCTGACCTTATTATGGCCCATTTACTGTTCTCTTCTTTGGACACTTGCATTGCTAATACCACCATTAACATTTTCCTAATCTCTCATCCTACCAACTTGTCAAGAAAAGATCACCAGATTATGCTATCATTTTCTACTTAGCCAAACCCCAAATGACTATTCCCATTACTAGAAACTTTGATTTTTCTACACATGAAGCCAAGGCAGCATCCTTCCAAGACAGTGGGTCTTCAAGTACAAAGACCAAATTAAACCGTGCTTATATAGTTTATTTTTAAAGTAACTTGTAACACAATGTAAATATACATTAAAAGATACTGTGGCCATTTAGATTAGGAATATCATGAAGTTATTTACATGCCGACGTATGCATGTGTGTATACACACACACACACAACACAAAGTGCAGATAAATACAGAAACACTACAAAATAAACAAAAAGTTCAATATAATTTACGGACAATAACTTTTATCATATTTATTAATTTCTCACGTTAATAGTTGCAAAGAAGCTCCTGGTACTGAAATATAATATCTAAGTATCCAACTTTTATATAAACTATAGTACCTCAAATTTTAACAGTATATAAATAGAATTCTAAATTAAAAACTAAGGTATCTTCCCTGCCAGGGTCCCTATCTGCAAAGATTTCAGCTTGAAGTTCTCAAAAGACTCTTGAAATTCCAGCCTTCAATAATGCTGTGAAATCTTGGGTTTTTAAGAATAAATCATGTAAAGGCAGTATTCTTACATCAGTTCTAGGAGATGTCATTCTCTGCAAAAGGTGGCTGAGGATACACTGGTGGGCATAACACCTCTAACGTGCTTCCACATGGAGAACTATGCACACTTCTCACCTAAGAGATGGCACAACAGGTGCGGTGCGCTCTTGAAGGGTACAGACCCCGAAAACAACGATGAGGGATGGCAGAGGGTGAAAACAAGGGCAGAGAGTGCTCATCTAATTGAGGGAGTCTTGGCACCTTCAGCCCCCATCCATTCCAATACGTAAGCTTCTCAAGTTGCCCTTTATATGAACTGATTAAGTGGTGAAAACTTCTACATTGGTATAGCTGAAAATGGCCTCTTTTATGGCTCCTCAGTAAGCACACAAACTCCGTACAACACCAAGAACTATTCGCTCTTGACCTTGGCCTCTGTCCTGTGGGAAGGGAGGTGAAGAGATGGTCTTTTGGGTTCTCTAATCCATAAAAACATTCTGGGTCATACAGATCAGTTTCTGCCATGATTTCTTGTGAGTGCTGTCAAAACTCCTATTTAAAATAATCAACGTGGCCTGCTCTAAAAGTACCTAAGATCTTATTCACAGGTTAGATCAGGTAAAAAGTTCACACCATGCGTAAGCCTCCATTTTCCTAACATTATTACCAATAGAACCTGCACCTGAAACAGGAAGGCAACTGGTAAAAATGGATGGATAAAGTCTGTGTTCAGGAAATTGGGACCAGCTGATAAATACCTGTTAGTCTGAGTGAACAAGAGACAACCTGGAAACAGACTACCCTGAAAGGCAGACCCATCTGAAAAATTGTTTTGATTTTGGAAGATAACAAAGGCAAAGGAGGCAAAATTTCGTAACAACAGTTGCTACCATAAGGGACTACTATCTTTTGCTCAAAAGGAAAATAACTTCAGGACAAGAGTCCAACCTTTGCTTTTTATCCAGGAGACAGGACTGCACAGTGCTACCTGGCAATGTGAGGTCATGGGAAGAGCTGCAAGTTATACATGGACTGTGAAACCAAAGGACAAAATCTGTTCCTAAGCCTTCGAGTTCCATGAAGAAGTGTAAGTCAGATTAGGGTTCTAAATGCTACCTGAGGCGCCAGGGATTTAGCTCAGTGGTGCAGTGCTTGCCTGGCAAGCGTGAGGTCCTGAGTTTGATTCCTGGTGCCACCTCCCGCCGCCCAAAAAAAAGCAAAGCGAAGAAACTAAATGCGACTGGTTCACCCTCAATATAGCCTAAGCATCTCAAATTCCACAATTCAAAATCTAAAACTTTTTGACATGTACACGATGCCACAATTGGAAAGTTCCAGCCAGGTGACTCCGTTTTACCTACTATGAAAAATTTCCTCAGGCTTTGTGTATAAGATGCATATCAAACAAATTGATTTCATGTTTCAACTGGGACCCCATCCCCATAACATCTTGTGTATATGTCATTATTCCAAAATCTGAAAAAATCCCCAAATCCAAACTTCTGTTCTTAGTATTTCAGGAAAAGGGTGCTCCTCCTGCGTGACCAGTGGATGTCCAACACAAGGGTTCGAGGAACACTTCTAAACTAACCTCAGGGTGAGTGACAGCCTTTCTGATGCAGATATGAAGGAGGAGGCTGGGGGCGAGGTTGGGAAGGTGTCCTCTCCACAGGCTTACGGCAATATGAGACTTGTTTTCCTCATCATACAGTGCAGTTTTGGAAGGCATACGGAAAGCTAATGACAGGGAAAGACTCAGGTATCTTTATTTCTCCTATTTGCGAACCTGGACAGTTTGGGACTATGGGAGATTTAAGGTGTATTTTTCGTCTTCTCCACCATCCCTCACAAAGCCAGCAAAGGAGCCATTGTTGAGAATCTTGGTTATATTCGTGTACATTACAAAGCACAGAGAACCAACGCGACAGATGAGCAAAACCATTCACATTAGATAAGGAAAAACGATGCCTCTCCACGTTTCATGGACCGTACAGGAAGTAAAGATTATTCTACTCTTCAGATATTCACATGTTACAAAATAGAAACATCCTTCAGCCGAATGACTGGCTTCTATAACTGATCGTGGTGATCTTTCCTGATGACAACAGAAAAGTCACCTGTGATGTAAGTGTTTGTACTCTGGGATATTTTCACACAACACACAGATAATTAACTTCAGACCCTCAATCTCATCCTCGTATTGACTATGCTATCAGCAGCGACTTGGGTGCGTATAATTACATTTCAAAGGTGTGGATGTGGCAACTCCAACACATCTTTCCATGGTCTCTGAAAGGGGCAGCTGCCCTTACTGCAATGCTACGGAAGTTTTGAACGTGATCGTCTTCTAATGACTGACTGGCATTACCTCCCTTGTGTAATTAACAGTCCACCTGTTTGGAGTACTTATGTTGATTCTTTTGGTGCTCGTAAGTGCCTGCCAATACTAAATGTACTTGAAGGGAAAAACACCTTTAGCCCGTCTCCAGTATGAGGCTATGACTTGCATACACATACAATCAATATAAAGAAAAATAAACCATCCTCACAAATCTGTAAGACTTAAATTTCTAACAAAAGTACAAGATGAAGGCTGGGGATACAGCTCAGTGGTAGAGCACTTGCTGAACAAGCAAGAGGCCCTGGGTACAATCCCCAGCACCACAAATAAAACAAAAACTTCAAGCAAAATCACAACATGAACCAGCATGTTTGTACCTTGTTTCTAGGAAGGGACAACAACAAGTAATGCCACAAAATACGCCTCACCATAAGAAAGGAGAGGTGGGCTTCATACACATGTCCTATGCCGTGGAAGAGTTAATTCCTCACTGATCACCCGTGGAATTAGCTCACAGACAATTCAGAATCTGGGGCACTCTTGTCTGTGTTAAAATCAAATGAAGGTTGTGATTTCTTTATGTAACAAGTGAAGTAAGATTCTGAATCTCTTTCTGAAATCAAGGTAGTCCTTGAAAGAAAACCAAATTCGCTTTAGGTGGTTACAGTCTAGCAGAATGCTGGGCAACAGCCAGGGTGCTTACACTGAAGGTGCCACACCGATGAGGGACTGGTGCCCTGGAGGGACTGCCTTCTGTCCCAGCGAGGGCCGGCGGGGTGCTAGCAATGCTCTTACTACTACCCTGGCCCAGAAGGTTCAGAAATATCTCAACAGCAGGAAGACAAAGTAAAGAAACATACCAGATTTTCCCATTCATTCAGGACATTTTCAGAATCAGAATATTTTTTGTTCCTGTACTTCAACTCACTGATTTATTTCTGATTGTGATCATCTGCTGTTACTCTCTTTACTTGGTGATTCTAATCCATTAATTTTATATTTAGAAGCATAAATGTTCTGAGGCATAATTCTATGTATATATTTAATGCACTATTACTAGAAATATTAATTTAAAGTAGAAGTAGATTATAGATTTTCGTATGTAAAAGAGTTTTACACAGTAAATACCTGAGTGTCTATAAAGTGAGCAAAAACTCTGACGTAATCAGTAAGACATCAGGGCCAAGTAGGGAAGGTCTGTGATAGTCAATTGGCGGTAATCAGCTTTTTGAAATCTTGAGAAGAAAGATCTTTGCCACATATAGATATTAGAAATAATATATTAGAATTATTGAAATAGAAATAATAGAAAAAATGGTTAATGCCTAACCAGTTGATGATATATATATAGATATAGATATATAAATGGGTAGTAAACACCTATTTCTATGCAGTATAAATTCATTAAAATTCTGAGTAAAGGTCATAAACCAAATGACTTAAAGGAAATCACAGACAGATTCTATTCCTGCTAAAGATGATGACAGAATTTCAAACTCTCTGGTTCAATGTGATTTAAGATTCCTGTACTTCTGTGTTTACTTTCTGTTTTAATTAAGCACAGACTTTAGAAGGCACAGCTTTTATCATTTAAGAATATCTCAGTAGCCAAAATTGGATATTACTAAAATAACCTGACACATTACAGCGTTACAAGTAGAATTTAAGTTGTATGCCTTTATACTGCACTTCTGTAATCTTCCCGTTTGAGTAATGATACTTTTGTGATGCTACTATCATTCTACTAGGAGAAAATATAGGCTTATGATTCATAAGTGCTCACATTTTCATCCCAAGGTTGTGAAAATAGTTTATAAATTCTGTAAAGTCAGGGTCAGTAAACTGTGAACCCACAAGTGAAATGCAGCTTGCCACAAAAATATTTAGCATTAGGCCTTTATAGGAACAGTTTGCTGATCCCTGCTCTAACCCCATGGAAGTTGTCTGGAATTATGGATGGATTGTTAACAGTGGAATCAGTGTATGACTTAATTTGGCTTTCTTTACAGACATCATATACATTATTGCTTTTGAATGTTATCATCCACTTGGAAAACAAATAAAAATAAAATTATACTAAAACAAAGACTTATTTCCTTGAAATGTTCAGAACCAACAAAAAAACCATATAAAAGCAGTATATTTTTAAGAAAAAATAATAAACGAACAATTTACAATACAGTTATAAGTAATGATTTCAAAGTTCCTCAGAGAATGCCAGAGAGTAAGAGACAGATCTCAAAATCCATATAGCAGATTTCCGGTTCTCAAACTTTTAGATTATAGTATTTAGCTCAGTATTCAAGATTTTTCAGTTGCTATGGAAGAGACATTTTAGAGAATTACAGTACTTATTACCAAAAAGAAAAACGTCAAAAAAAGAATGAATAGAGTTTAAGCATTTTTTTCCTTTTTCCATTACTAGGCAACTATGTAGTGTGCTGGTGAAGAACTCGATAGAAACGGACTGTTTTCATTCAGTGGGCTGGTTCCAATATCTGTGTCAGATAAAATCATAGCGCTTATTATTTGTTACCATGGATACCATGAAGATACTGCCATCCGCTAAGTAATATTAGAGGAAGACAACATAATTTTCTGGAACTAGTCCTGTTTTGCCTTCGTAAGTTGCCTTTAACCATCCTGGTTCCACTGATGGGTACACTGGAAAATAAATAAAATTCAATTAACATTTGCTTCAAACAATGATATAACCTAGACAAATGGTTAAAAATCCATATCAAATTGTATGCATATACTTATACTATCAAAACAAGAACAGTATTACAGCCCCCTTCCCTTTAAAGATGGAATATGCTTTGCATTCACGCCATCAGCTTGTGTGCTTGTGCGTGTGTGTGAGTTTGTGTGCTTGTTTCTAATACACAGATAAGCACAGAAGCCAGTGCATACACATGTGCTCCTGCAGAGGGAAACGTGGGATCTGAGGGGATCTGCTGGGCTCACTTGTGCAGGTTATGAGAGGCAGGCTCTAGATTACAATCTGAGGTTCCTGGTTTCTATTTTAGACCCCTTCCACCACGCCATTCCTTTATCCTCCCCGTGCTCCACTTACGTGAAGTATGCGGAAGTGCTTACCGTTAGAGAATATTGCCCCCTGGGGGAAGGACAGCTCATGGCTGTGCTCTGCTTTACAGGAGTACATGGCTTTGGCTTGTCTGAAAGAGCAAGACAGTCTGTAAAAATCACAACACTCAACTCGGGTACTAAAGCTTTTCTTAGCTATTGATGGTTATTAACTGGAATACAATACACACAAAGGGCACCTGCAAGTCGACACCAGTGCATTTCCCACACATCGAACACAGCTGTACAACCAGCCTGAGAAAATGAACATTTCTGGTACACTAAAAGGCGTTCCATTTCCAAGCAATGCTTCTAGGGAACCACCTCACTTACAGCCAACAGCACTGGTTGCTATTAAAGATTGCTATCGCTGGATTGTTAGGAAGCTGCTGAACAAGTTGTTTTAAAAGTAATATAGGAACCAAGGCTCACAGCTACCCTAAGGCTTGTTTTGTTTTTTCCACTTCAATTTTTAGACTACCTGAGATGATATCTCAAAATGAAAAGGTCTACAAGATCGGGTAAATATGCTGAGTGGTCACCAGGAAGAAAGCAGCAGGACGAGCTGATGATACACGGCAGCCAGCCTCAGGTCGGGGAGAACACAGGACGGATGGAGCTTTGCAAGCCGGAGACGCGCCTCTGACAAGCAGAGCCAGCGCGCGCTTCCCGACAGCGTTACCATCTATGAATTCAAGCACAGCGTAGCCATAGTCTGGTTTTTAAGGAAAAGCCAGAGTTTTTGTAGAGTTTTCTGTGAGATCTGACTTTAAAATATCTGAGGGAACACTAACAAGCCATCACGAGAGTTTGCTAATCCCGTCCCCAGGCCAGTTTCTTTCTCCCTGCAAAACTCAATGACCGTGGTAAGACTTGCGGCTTCCCTGACTCTACCTGTTTATTTCTTCCACAACTAGACTCCAAGCCCAGTCATTCCCGATGTAGGTGACTGACTCTTCTAGCATCCTAACATTTCTGGACTTCCTCCTCCGTTCATTTATAATCCATTATCTACTGAGCACCCGCAGAGCAGTTCTGAAACAGCTCATCAGACCATCTCACTTCAGCGGTTTCCGGTCTAGTCACAACCCATACGCACGTGTCTGTCTGCCTCTCCTGTCTGTTTTTGTACTTGCCTCTGATCCCTGACTCTTCCACGCACACTTTCTGCCTTCTCTACAAGGCTAACCTCCCTCGGGACAGCTCTGCCATCTCCAGGAGATGTCTTCCTCTTGATTTTTATACAACAAAGCACTTAAGTTCACCAGAAATTTCATGAGCTTTGCTGGAGGGTCGGTCTTCCCTGACCATGGACTCTAAAACACCCACCCAGGGAGCCATTATCTCCTCCCCGCTCAAACCCGTGTGGTGCTGACCTTTGGTGCTCTGTTGTTAGCAGTGTTACTTCTGTTGTTTCCTTCCCCAACGAGAATGCACCCTCCGTGGAAGAGGCCTGATGCTCAGTAGTAACTAAATATTCGGTGACTCAGTAGATATTTGGTAAATGATTAAGTGAAACAAAGATGCTCTGGACTCTTTCTGTATGACAAGTCCACTTAAAGACCCAAGGTGCTCCCTAATGTCCCAGTACTGTAGTACCTAATATTCGGGTACTATACCTACAAAGAAGCATCAGCAGTACCTGCCATCTCCTCCGAAGTGATGGCATTCCCTCAGATTTCATTTCCCTATTAGAATTAGATCCTGGGTCTTGCCAATTCCAGAATGAGGCTTGGCCATTTAAACTGGGGTTTTCAAAAAACATCTGAGGATGAGAAAGCTTGTAACGAAGAGGTATGCGTATGTCCCCCGAGGCAAGTCTCGCGCTGTCAGAAAGCTTACTGGGGGATCAGGTTTGGGAACAACCACAGCCCAGACTGCACAGCCTCACACTGCCGCATGCTCTAAGGTAGCCATGGGGAGGTAGAGGCCCCAGGGAAGAACAGCATTTTACATTAACAGACAAACAAACAAATAGCAGTGTGCGTGTGCGTATGTGATTACAGATAGGTGAGGGGTAAAGGCAGAGGAAAAGCATGCTACTAAGTGTTGAAAACTTCTAAGAATCACACTATGGTAACCTTGAATATTAGTTTTTCCTAAAAACTAACCAAGAATAATCACTGGGTTTGATAAGAGCTTCTGAAAGCTTCTACTTTAATAATAGATAATTATGTTTTTAAACATCAAGTTTTCTTACAGCAACTATGTCATATTTCTTTGAGTCATTAGGAAATGACTTATTAAATCTACAGGGAAACAATTTCCAAAGCTGCAGAAGTAATTATGCTTTACTATTCTTTGCAGTGATATAATTTTTTAAAGTACACTTTGAAATTCTATCAGATTCCTATTAATATTTCAGGCGTGAATGTTCTCCTTTTAGGATTTTATGCCTTGGTGAGGGTGGGAAAAAGAAAACAGAATAATTCTACCACTAAAAAATTTTATAAATGTGTTAAAAACACAAAGCAAAAAATACTGGCATCACTGTTCAATTATTTGTGCATGTGACTAGGCAGAATTTCCTTCTGCAGAACTCTGTACCACAGGTGTTAACTCAGAAGAGAGCTTTGATTCTTTCATGCGGTCTGTGACAGCGAAGTTTCCTCTCCGGGCGCTAATGCTTCCTCTTTTACTGTCCTGTGTATGGAAGAGGATGTGAAAATAACCCGGTCATCTCTCTTCAGAAAATTCTAACAGCCCTTTGAAAAGGGTTTTGAACAACCTGCTTCTGACCGCAGGGGAGAATAACCTAAGGACATTCACCATCCTAAAAGCCACTCCTTGCCTTATCACTGGGGAATGATCTGCTCACAGCCTCCTTCTAGTTCTAAATGTCTCACGATGTCGATGAGTAAATCTACAAACATATGATAAGGTAGTTGTGCACAATTTTCCAATCTCATTTTAAACATAAGAGAAATAAAAATTCACCAAAATCAAAACAATGTTTCCTAGGGCTGTTTAACAATCTCTCTCTCTTTCTCTCTCTCTTCCCCCTTTCTCTCGCTCCCTCTCATATTCTCACTCTCCTGAATATTATTTAGAGTTTCACTTCTGAAAGGAATAGTAGTACACTCTAATGGAAAGATGCCTAAGCAGTACTATATATAAACTAAAAAAACCCTAACAATCTAAGAGTTCATGAGCAGAGGACTTAATAAATTAGAACACACTGTTTAATTAGGCCTTACACAGCAACTACAAATAATACCATTAAAGAACAGACACCTGCCACTAAACAATGTTAGCACGAAAGGCAAAAATTGTACACATTTGTTCTTGGCAAAGTGTACACCGCGTGTGCTTAAACTTAGTCACATGTTCTTTTTGTAAGTTTTTTTTCAGCAAACGCTAGCTTCATCCGGCTTGTGCACCTGCGTGAGTGTTGGACGTCTCAATGCTAAGAACTTCTATGTGAGAGTGTAGAGCTAAAGCTGCTTATGTCTAACACAGGCAAATGGCATCTCTGTTGAAAATGAAGTGGAAAACTGAGCAACAAATGGTTTTTAGGTCACAAACGTGTATTTTACAACTTTACGGAGCATCTGTTCTGTGTCGGGTGCCGTGGTAGGAACGACGCAGTACCCCACACCTCCATGGCTCCTTTTCTGCATGTTCCTCACCAAGCAGTTCTCAAAGTACGGTCAGAGGAACCTGAGGCAGAAAGGGAGGCGGGGGGGACTCCGAGACATCACTACTCTTGACAACAACAGGAGGCATGTGAGGTTTATTTATTGTGTGTTATGTCAGACATTAAAAATATCTGTAAGAATGCAAAGCAATTAAGTATCTTTAAAATTATGTTATTAATATAGAATGGGTTTGTCCTTATTTTAATTAAAGATTTTATATTTTCCTCAGTTTAAAAATTTAAAAATGTCTTAGTTTAAATTTGTAAGACAGTAAATAGCAAGAGATGTAACCCACATTAATAAAGGCTCTGTAGGGGCTGGGGACTTAGTGGCAAAGCGCCTGCCTGGCAAGCGCAAAGTCGTGAGTTCGGTTCCCGGTACTGGAGAAAAACAAAAACAAAAACAAAAACAAAAAGGCTCTGTGGGATGACTTAAATTTATGAAGATGTGCTGAGACCAAGAAGTCTGCGAGCCGCTGTCAGAGATGAGGCTGGCTGTGCCTCAACGCTCAACAGTAATTAGCTTCATGTAGGTGGGGAAATAGAAGCAGCTTTTATTTACTTCTTTAGTCTATTAGTATTTGCCACATTTTCTACAAAAAAATAAGTTGAAGTCACTCTTTAAAACCATGATTTCCGTTGTCTTCTATGTACACTGGTGTCTGCGGTATCTTTTGTGTGTCTTACATGTGCCACTGTGATCTACAGCCTTCCTAAAATTCAAGCTCACTGGGCAAGGCTTTGTGGAGCTTTACTTTTTTCCTTTATATAAATATAATCAAAATATTGGTCTTCCAGATTATGGCACCTGAAACTTTTGATGGTTACAGGAAACCAGGCCCTTCAGTCTCTTAACTCTCAAGTGCTTTATGCTCAGTTTAACAGTCAGGGGACATCTGCATAGACCTCCTACATCACAGGACTTCGAAAAGGAGTTCCGCGCTAAATGAGCACAGAGGACGGAAACGGTGGTGGTGGCAGGGGGTCTGGGAGTTGTGCCCCACATTTGTCGTAATGGTGACCTTAGAGATATTTGGCTCTTGAAGGTGTTTTACAGTTTAAAGAAAAACAATACTAAAGAACCCGTGCCCGCCTGCCTAAGGCTCCACTAGGTGCACAAGGGCATTTTTCACCATTCCACTCATTTTCATGTGTTTGCGTACATGTAAGAATCATTCCGGGTCTGTGGCAAAATCTCCGTTTTACCAAACTCGGAGAATGGCCTCCACTGAATCTACTCTTCAAGATTCTCAGCAATGGGTTAACACTAGCACCCTCTCCTTACTGCCTTGACTTTCTTGCAGCTCCTACTCCTGCTAGCCATGCCTTCCCCTGACCACTCTATTCCTTCTTCTTTGCCTGACCCTTAAATAACACCATTCCCCGAAGACCAGTGCTCAGCCATTTCTTCCTTTTCACTCACTAAGCCCCGCCATGAGGGACCACTTGCGTTCACCTATGCAGGTTACCGCTATGTAGAAATTTTTCAAGTGGCATCAAAATCTATGTTTTCTTCTTTTCAAGCCACATGTTTCTAACTGCCATTCATTTGTCTCTCAAGCTCCTTAAACCACACGGCTAAAACTTTCCATTCCTCCTTTGTACACGCCTACAAAATCAGAAGCTTCACCACCATTCATTCTCAGGGACTGGCAGTATTCTTTTCCTGTCTCTTGCAAAATCAAAGGAATTGCCCACTTCCAATGCTATCTATAAAAACTTCCTTATAGCTTTTTATGCTTTTGCTACTTTTCTAATTAATCCTTCTAAATTTCACCAATTCCATCCTAAATGGCTGACTATTTTCTCTCATCTACAAGCTCCTAAAAAAGCCACCTGGGTGATCTATTGTGGTGCTTCCCTGACTAGGTCACCTGTCTGGACAGGGTCACACAGAGCCTGCAGTGCTTCCAGAGGTACTGCACTCCTGCTGCTCACACCATCCTCTAAAATTACCGCCTTGGTCTCTTTCCTAAATACTATTTCTGCTGGTTCTGCCATCTTTTGAGGTCCATTTCAAGGGTAACCTTGAGTCCCTAGACTGAACACAAGGTAGGCATTATAAGAGATTAACCAAGGACATGTCCTCAACTACTATGTGTTACTTGGTTTTATTTAATAGCACAAAAGAATATCAAGTGACTCTCATGGGTTTGCATTTAAATACCATTAATGTATTAACCAGAAGCTTCAAGGTCTTTGATAAACAATTTCAAAAGAATGATAACAGTAAGTCACTAATACCGTAACCATACACAGAGCACCTATCATGTATTTCAAATACATTATTGTGCATGTAAGCTCAGAATAATGCTGAATGTACAGGTGAGTGGGCACCAGATTTATGCTGACACTTATTATAAGCTGATTTAGAATATTTAGAATGCACAAGCATATACAAATGCATAAGCTGATTGTTGAACATATGAATATATATTATACAACAACTTTCTAATTTACTTTTTAATAGCTTATTTTCTTAAGGCTCTGCAGGATGACCTGTCAGATTACAGCACTGTTAGTATGCTATCTGTGGGTGCCCCATCCAGACTCAACCAGACAGATATTCAGGAAAAAAATGCATCTGTCCTGAAAATGTACAAAAATTTTTATCATTATTGCCAGGCATGGTGGCATATGCCTGTAATCCCAACACTTGGGAGGCTGAGGCAGGAGGATCATTGCAAGTTTGAGGCCAGCCTGGGATACCCAAATGAGTTCAAGGCCAGCCTGAACTACATAGTGAGACCTTGTCTCAAAAAAAGACACATACACACAAAAAAGTTATCATCATTTTCTAAAGAAAACAGCTATGACTATTTATACAGAATTTATATTAAGTATTACACATAATCAAGAGAGGATTATATAGGAGGATATAAGTAGGTTATATGCAACTAGTATGACATTTTATAGAAGTGACTTTAAGATGTGTGGATTTTTGTGTCTTGGGGACTGGTGGTCTTGGCACCAATCTCCCACGAATACCAAGAGAGGACATCCTTGAGTTTGCATTTATAGTCTCTAGCAGCGGTGGGAACATACGGCACACATACTACAGCTGACTGCCATCACTGAAAACTCTGAAAGGTTCACCGGCACTGCTCCAGAGCTTCCTAATAAAAGGGCTCCATCTAGTGGAGCAATTCTCCACACAGCAGTGAGTGCATAGCAAGGTTAAATCCCTCACACTAAGGCCTGAAAGCAACCACAATCTCAGAAAAATGGAATTCGCTCTGATACACAAGGGACTCCTTTTCATCATGTCTTGATAAAAAGGAAGATGAAAATGCTGGGGATAGAGATAAGGAAGGTGATGAAAGTGCATTAGGACTGACTATAGACATGCAAGGTAATCCGCCCTGTCCTGGTGCTACCACGTGATTCTGCGCTGTGGAGTTAAAAGAAAACACAACCAAACCAGAACAACCATTGACAACAACAAAATAAAACTGAAAGGGCCTCATCAGGCTTTGAACTTAGCTAAGAAGAGTCTGAAGGTCATTGTTATCCCTAATAACTAGCACATGTCCAGTATTATTGAATAAACTCATACTAGGAAAGTCTACATATTTTTATGAGGTTGACAGAGAATCTTTGGATGAATAACTTTTAGAAGAAACATGCAGCAGTAACTAAATTATCTGTGACTCCTGCTTCCTCGACTTAACTATCCAGACATGGAAACAAGTGTGGCAGAGAAAAAATCAAAGTTTGTGCTGCAAGTTCTCACACACTCTACCAACAAGCACCTACTGCCTCCTCTGAAAGAAAATCTTTGAGAAGTCCCACTTTTATGAAATCCCCTTATTCAAACTAAAAACAAAAGGCCACTGCAGACCAGAATAATAAATTAGGAAGAAGCAGGAATTTAAGAAGAAAGTACTCTAATAGCAGTAAGATACAGCAACTCATCCTGTTAATGATAAATGTAAAGTACGAAACCCCGAATAAAGTTCTGTACTCAAAAACTGGCATCTGCAGCAATGAGCTCTCATATACCTCAGAGATCCTTAAGAATAAACACATTTTCAACAGAAGCCCATGAAGCTGCTTTCAGAGAAACTTAATGTAACTTTTAAGAGCCAAGAACATTCTTCTGAAAATTGTCCCCCAATGACTATCATTAAAGATGTGCGAACAGTTGTGGCAACTTCTGTCTTTTAAGAAATCTGTTTAGAATCATCCTATGCAAAGGATTTTAGCAAAGCAGGTATCACGGTAACAATCTGAGGTGCTAAATGCCGTTACAGACACGGTCTCCACACAAAGGGCCATGCACTTGACCGTCTGCAAAGCTGAGGGCACAGCTGTCACAAATACTCTGTCAAGAGCCGGGCATGGTGGTGCATGCCTATGATCCCGGCAGGATTGTGGAGGCAGCAGGATCACTAGGAGTTCGAGGCCAGCCTCGGCTCTCTAGTGGGTTGACGGCCAGCCTGAACTGCATGGCAAGATTCTGTCTCAAAATAAACAAACAAACAAACAAACAAACATTTTGTCATGTCAACACAAGACACTGTCACCACTGTCACAGGCTTTTTTTTGTACTTTCGATGATTTTGAGGACTTACCGCCCAGAAGACACTGGCTTAAGTGAACCAACGTTTTCAAAGAGTTGGGCCTTTGCTGCCACTCTGAAAAGTAATTTTAAAATACATGTTTCAGGAAATCAATCAGAAACTCATTCCGCTCAACATGGAATTCCAGATTATCATTTAAACAAAATGAAATGATTAAAGAGCCACACCAAAATCGGAGCCAAATTTTAGTTGTCTCAAGCTTTAATGTGAAGAAGCGGTTTTTAGCTCTTGCCTCTAGCTCACCAATGATCAGGCTGTAATCAACTCCGAGCTTCCTCTTGCGGGGATCCTGACTATCCTCATCGTTTTTACTTCAGAAAACTGGAAGAACACTTTCTACCCACCCTGCTCCCAGCAGGCCGCACGCTACTGACTCCCGCGGATCCACAAGGGAAGAATCAAAGAGTAACTTCAACGTGACAAAAGAGGAACTGCTGTTCGTCCCCACGGCTAAAAAATCCCTAGTGCTAGCATGATTCCATGCGGTTTTTAAATGTGAACATATCTCCTGTAACAGGAGAAGTATAAACCCTTCAAGTATGTCCAGTAACTTCTGACTCAAATTTGTCCTCAAATCATGGGGTAGGTCTGTGGCGTGAGGAAATGTTTCATCTGAAAACATGAGGCTCTCTGATACACAGTGAAAACCACAAACAAGAGGGCCCCTCAGTGATCGGACACATTCCTCTGTACTAGAAGAGAAAATCCAACTCCTTGAACACTGTTCTGTTTAAACTCAACTTTAATGTAATCCGTTGTTCTTTAACTCACAAGCTCTTCTCACAGGGCCAAGCCATTTGATAATCTTGAGGACCACTTTATACCTAATATAGAACACATTCCCTGACTTTAATTTCCAATTTAACTGTCAGTGCAACCGCAAGGCAGAACTTCTTCTCTCTCCTCTGCTAAGAACGGAGTTTATATTGTCCCATGTCTCCTATCACACTGGTTTAAAACTTAATTTCCTGTAACAGCTCAGACTAGGCCCCAGGGGAGTAGACAGATTTAGGAACGTATCTGGCTGTAACACCGTAACTGGTTTCTGACCTAGACAGGTAGTGATGTTGAACTCTGCAACTAAAAGGTCCATTAAGAAATGGACAAACGAAGGACGGACAAATGAAGTTCAGGCTTTGTTCCTACGGAAATGGGCTTAGCAAAATGTTGTACCTGACTTTTCACAAACCATAAAAATGTCAGGAACGCGCCATATTCCACATGGGCATGCCGTACAGAACCGAAATGAGAGAACCCGAGCCGGAATTCCAGCGCTGCCCTCACTAAGTGAGAGTAAGTGGACTCCTTTGCTACACTTTCCTAAGATCACTTCTTACCATTTCTAGAAACGGGTTTAAATTGTCTATTTCAGAAGGATACTGTGGACCCTTAAGGGGTAATATTTGCAGACATCCAGTGACAGCTCGTGGAGCACTAGGAAACGTTTGGCAGCTGTCAGGAGCACAGCATGAAAGGAGGAAAGGCCTTTCCTTCTGTGCTGCTCTGACTTGTGTTCTGGTTTCCGTCTCTTCCTCATTACCTCTTTCTGACCGTGTCTATGTGCCCACGACCTATCAGCCTTTACACTTCTGCTAATTTCCTTTGATTCGAAGTGCTCCTTCCTCTTTGCCTTTCGTGACCCTTGTTCTCTATGCGCCTATTTAAATCATGGAGCAGCAAGGGAGGGGGAAACTGGATGGAGAAAAGAAAAGCCCAACCCTCCCAAGCTGGGGAGCAGCGGTATCGACAGCACAGGGCGGGGAACTGGGAGACGGACGTTCGGCTTCCAGCGCAGAGCTGCTGCTTCCAAAGCCTGCGGCTGCTGTGTTACACACCTACCCTCTGGGTGCTCACGCCACTGCTCCGTTCTAGGGAAGTGCTTGAAGGGATGCCTGAAGAGACTGTTTCTATACCCTAAGCCTACAGTAACTTTCACTGCTTTTCTAAAATAGGCAGGAGTCCTCAGAAGTTGACTTTTCCCACCCTGCAGAGGAAGCATCTAAGTACGGAGTTCCCAGCGTGTTTTGGAACAGACTCGGCCCCAGTGCATGCCCCGGAGACACAACAAATACAAAGGCAGTTCCACTTACACTGAGCCGGGTCGCTGGTAGCCATTGCTTGAGGCAGTGTCCAGCCTTAACCTCCTACACATTTTTGGAGGAAGTTCTGGGTTTGGTGTGGCTTTGGATGTCTCCTTGGAACCTACAGAAGTTAAGCTTTGAACAGATCCACTGTAGCTCTTGTTTCCTAAAACGCAAGCCCAAAAAAACAGACAAGGTGCTATGAGACAAAGTAACAGCAATAACGCAGAACATGTGCATAACAAAAGGAGCATTTTTCTGCGAGACTAAACGGGAAGGTACAGAATGTTCTTTGGGCACAGCAGCCATCACTCAGGGAGATAAAAATCTACAGTAATTACAAAGGCGGCACCTTACAGAGATGGGAAGATTGAGGAAAAATGTCATGATGCATAAAAGTTTTGAAAGCCAAGCTTGGGAACAAAGTACACGAGCCCCCTTCAGTGTCTCCTATTAACTTCACCCCCACTAATTCATCCTGAAGATTCATCCAGCAAATGACATTAAGACAATGGCATCTGTACAAGCTCCACTTGTACCTTCAGATGCAGAGATGGACTTGAGGGAGGAAGCAGGGGTTCTCTGCAGCCCTGAGAGCCCGTAGGGCCCCTTCTTGACTAGGTCTATGGGCGGGGAAGCATCCCCTGGGCCGGTGACGGACGCAACACTCTGGCAGTCGGACTCTGCGTCTGTTTTGGTTGCATCTTCTCGAGAACTTGACTCAGGACTAGTCGTCCAGAGACCGAGGCTTTTCTGTCCGTTGGATGAGGATGGGGTTGCAATCCAAGGAATCCCTCCGGATTTCTCCCTGGGCTGGCAGGAGGCCGACTTTGTAGTGCTGTTTTGTTCAGAAGAGTGAGAGGAGAGCGACTCGATACTCCCCATGGGCGTGCTGTCCGGGCTGCTGCTGTAGGAGTCACCTGAGGAGGGGCAGGAGGGAGACAAAAGCAACAGTGGCTATCTGTGGGTGACAGACCGCATGCACCTTTCCTTCCTCAGCTCACCGCCTGCTCCCTGGCCACCGGACACGGACAGGGTGTCTGCACCTGTAGGGGAGAACTGTCCTCGGTGCTGGAGAAAGGCTTTGCAATGTGCATTTGCACTTGCTATTCTAGAAGGGTGGTGCACACTTCCAGGAACTAACTGCCCTACATAGCAGTTTTACTCCTTGAAGCATTAGCAGGCTGACCAGAGTTCAGATGAAAACTGTCTTCTCAAAGAGGAATCAGAAAAGAATAAGATTCCTTCATAACATTACAAGAAATGCATGGAAGAGGGTATATCAAGGCCTTTGTTGCCTTCTTTTACTTTTCTGCTCCCAGGTGACTTTGAGCTGCAGCATACGTAAGTCCTCCTCCATGCAAAGGTGCATCAAGTGTTAGCCACAAATTACACGCTGTTCACAGCTTTCAAAGGAAGAAGTTTTTCCCTTTTCTGCTAAGAATATAGCAACCTAAGAAACCGCTGTGTCATTAGGTTTACTTTTTAATGTTCCTAAAAGAAAAAAATGTAAAGGAACCAATCATAGAAACCCTAATAAAGCAGTCAGCTACACCTGAATTAAAAATTACTACAGAGTTTGTATTAAATATTTGTGGTAAAAGAACTGAGTGTACAGAACGAGGATGACCACGTTTAAGGTGTGCAGTGGGCTCAGGTGATACCAGGCCGGGGCTTGGTGAAGGTTAAGTAGCTCGTGATAATATGTAGTGCTGGTTTTCTTTGTTATTTCTTTTCTCTCTTTCAGACACGTTGACAACAATGAGCTTTAGGAACATAATATGAAAGAAAGAAAATGACCATTTCCGTCGGACTTACCCCTTGACTTTTCATCTACCGCCTGACAACAGGACAAAACCTGCTACCGAGAAGCACCCGAAGTACTTACTCACAGCTGCAGAAGGAAGAGTTCTGAGTGAACAAGGCTTCTGTGTGGCCATAATGAACTTGCCTGTCCGGGAACCCCACAACTGCGCTGACACGGAATATACCAATTTTAGGAGAAGGTGCCGGAGAGACAGCATCAGTGCGATCACTTCTGTTTCCACCTAGTTACTCGTGACGCGAGGCGAGGGTGCACTGAAGGCTGAAGGAAGCGCCTCCCTGGGGCCGGCACACTTACTGTCCGGCTCTGCGAGGCATGGAGTGTACCGCCCTCGGGGTTTCCGGGAGCCTGTGGACAGGCAGATTGCTCGGGTCCTTCGGGGTCCAGATCGAGACTGAGGCTGCGGGAGGGGGATGTTTGGGTCTGGTGCAGTGTGAAAAATCTACGTTGAAGAAAAATGGACAAAGATCAATAAAAGGGTGAAACTGTCATGTGCATCATAAAACATGCCTTCCAAGTTCTTCAATAATTTCAGAATTGCAAGGGATGCTTGACACAGAAATAAAAGTCCCACAGCCGTTAAAACTTTCTTTTCCATTTACAGGTAATATTTCATCGTTAGCTTTTCTTTCTTTATTGTCTCACATCTCCATCAGTGAAATTCAGAAGGCCTCCCAACAACTTCAAGGAACCTTTCACATAAGCACAAATGTCTATGCCAAGACACACTGACTCTTTCCTGCACTATTCTCACTCTCCCTTCGTCCTGGAAGAACCTACGTGCATCTGTATCACTTCTCTAGCAACGTGGCTCAGTGCTTCCGGAAGGTGCTGTCAATACTGCCGGCTCTGAGCTGTCAGGAACAGGACCAGTGGCAGGCAGAGGAACGAGACCAGCCACGGGACGCAGCCGGGCCGGGGAAGTGCACTGTGAGGGAACTCGCAGCCTCTGTCACTAAGGACGTCTGCGGGCACGGGGACGGGACTCTGGGGAGGGCGGAGGTACAGTCCTTCTCTCACAGCGAGCAGTCACACCACACACAGTGGGATTTTACAGTTAGGCCCTAAATGCGGGATGTGTTTAATAGTCCACAAAACGTGGCTTTCAGTTTCCTGCTTCCACTTATTCCAAGGCCTCACCCTTTTGATGAAAATCACCTGAGGGGTTAGAGGAGAGAGAGAACTACAAGGCTTGGACCTCTGAACTTTCTCATTAATGAGAAACATTATCTTTATTATATAAATTGAGTCTAATTCCAGAGGCATACAGAGATAAGGTTAAAGAAGACTTAAACCACAAAGTGATTTTAAAGTACATTTTGAGTAATACCTACGCAAATGCTAAAGAAAATAACTGATATGGAAAGTAAATGATATGAAAGGAAAGGAACCGAGCTCCCTGAAGAATTTTGAGAAGCACTTAACTGAATTACAACAAAAGTGTATCAAAGTCCTCAGGAAGAAGTAATTTTTATAAAACTGATGGACATTTTATAGGAATCTGATATAACAATAAGGCTCACTAAAAATACAAATGCAAAATTCCTTTTTAAAAGGTAACACAAAATGTGAGGTCTTGAGGTCTGCACATGGAAATCCAGCCTACCTTCTCATAATGCTCTATCAGAATTTCAACCACTATGTTCTGAAATTTAATATTCATCATGGCGGCCACGGTTTCCTCCTGTGCTCGCATCAGGGTTGGGCCAAATATGACACCAAGATTGGACACAGTCATGAGATTCTGTTGGCTGTGCAGTGATACTCTGCCAATAAAGGAAAAAAAATTAAATTATTACGAAGTATGCTTTTCTATCAAACTTGTGGCATAAAAATGTGAAATACATCTCCCATTATAGGCTAATTTTCTCAATAATTTTGGTTATTCCTGTTATAATAGCCCAAAAGATGAAAAATGTTCTTAAAATATATATATATAAATTATATATTATTAAAATTATATTATACAATTATTATATATCATAAAAAGTATTTATATTATTATAAATTATATATAAATACATGTATTTAATTTTTATAAAACATACTCAGTTTAAGAGCTATAGAACCCTAGAACTTAGTACTTTTATCTAACTGGATTGTCACTCCTCCTACTGTCCCCAACTTCACCCTAGGTTCCCAACACAGACATATGAAAAAGGTTTAAGGAGATGTAAATGCTAATTATCCTGATCTTTATATACATGTATTGAATTATTACACTATATCATAAAGATATGCAAGTATTATGTGTTATTCAAAATTTTAAAAAAGATGCTAAGAAGTTAACATATGCCCAAATATAACTAATAAGGGCCAAGGTTAAACTACAGAAGAAAAATCTGTAATTGTTCAGTATTTTCTGTGTTATCATAATTCTTTTAGAACACATGGCTAAGGGTAGGCCAGTGGCCCTTATATTGGGACTCAGGCATATTATTGGGAACCTATGTGTAGGCACCTCCATACATATTGTTGCAGTTAACTATCACAGTGAATCAGTTATGTCTACTATACAGGAAAAAAGTAACACAGAAGCTGTAAAGTGATGTACTGCAGTCATGTAAACTAGGAAGAGAGACGCTATCTCAATTCAGGTCTCTTGACCACAAGTCATGGTTTCCTTGAACTCCCCAGATACATATGGGCCAATATGTGGGCTTCTTCTCTTTTCCTTTCTGTTTTCTTCCATCTAAAACATCCCTGAATGTCTCCCTGGTACAGCCCAGTGTGTAAGGCAAATGGATAAGCAGACATGGCGGCATCATTGTTGGCTTAAAGATGAAATGAAAATCCTCTAATATCACTGACTAGAGCAAAGTATACCCATATAAAAACGAATTTTTTTGTACTATTACTGCCAGGGTATTGGGATGTAAAGTTTTAGGGAAGAATACAACACAAGACCATGCTTATGTCTGACCAAGTGAAAACACCAGGCTTTTAGAATACCCATGCAGCTTGACATAAGACAGAAAGAAGAAATACTGACTAATGTTTATCCTCTTGGTCTAGAAAGCATGAGCTGAGAAGGTTTTAAGTTAAAGTAAGAGGAGTTTCAGTCCATTTTCTTTTTATATAATCAAACACTATACACTACATGCTTAACATGTACTAGACAGTTTGCCAGCAAAAGCTGTACGTAAGGTCAGTGAGCCTTGGTGGATTCCAAGTTTGGATGTATTTCTTAGAGGCTAGGTAAGCTCAGTCAAGTTAGTTGGTATCTGTAGGCTTCAGTTTTCTCATCTGTACATGACATATATCAACTCTCACAGGATTGCTGAGAGAATAAAATGAAGTGATAAATTAAAATAATTGAAATTATCGTTTAAAATAACATTCTCTCCCTAAAATTAGATTGATTTTAGGCATGCTTGCTAAAATGTCCCAGTTCCTGTAATATAAATAAAATTGAATGTGACTAGGATCAAGCTCAGGAATAAATTTGGAAATCTTAAAGAACTTGATGTGTTTTGGAAAGAAGAACTGATTACACTGTGCACGTGATGGAATATTTTGATGGGTCTGCTCCTATTTTCTCTTCACTGAATTTCTCTTCTTCTGAGCTGATCACTGTCCCTGTCCTGGTGGGCCTATCGCTTTTAGACATAACCGGCATAAAGAACTAAGGAGGTGGGTAAGCGCAAGGCTACAGTGCAGAAAGGAAAGGGTACCAGACGGTAACTCAGATCCACAGTAACAAAGGAAATGACGGAAATCATAAATAGAATGTATTAAATTTAATAACATATTAAACTCTATTAATATAAGAAATTCCGTAACAGTTTTTAAACAAAGAGTGTTAGTTTGACGTGGGGGACCTTGCTGACTTTAGTAGTGTACTGCGCAAGTCTTTACACTCACTGCTTATGGCACACCTAAAAGAGCTGAGGAAAAGGTACGCGTCCACACATTTTTAAGTTGATACGTGTTTCATTTTGTTTAGCAGTTGCAAAAGACACATTTATTTGTATATTGAGAACACATACAGGTACACACAACATATATCGACATACGCTAAAGATAAACTGTCACAACACGGTTAAGGTCTTTGCAATACACTGGTTACAACAGCAATGATACAGCTCCATCATATACTTTAAGAAAAGATATGGACAAGTTTTAACTTAACAGCTAAATATAGAGTCGAATGTGTAACAGAAGCTAAGAGAAATTACTTGACCAGGTGCTTTATTAAGATGTCCAGCATCTCTCTGTTTTTCTCAGGCAGTTTGTGCACCAACGCATGTACAGCCTCCACCCTGTAGTTCTGGTCATCCGATTCTATTATGGAAAACAAGTGGCAAATGCTCATTTTAACTGCACTCAAATGCTACGTAAAGATCAGTACACGTAAACATCTTAGCCACGCCCACTTTTCATGGCTGAGAAGCGCTGCTTCGTGTAGCATGATTACCATCAATCCCTAAGGCTTAGACAGGTTGTGGAACTTGCCCATACACATGAAGTCAGGGAGTAAAACAGTCAAACACACCCAGTTCTGTGGATTCTACACACGTGCTCTTCATCACTGAATTATGTACTTCCATACAAACATAACTCATTACCTGCTTGGATTCTGAAACTGAAGATAGACTAGAACCAACAGAAATGTTAACTTTAGCCATTTGTGCAGTCTCCAACGTGTGAGGCAGTGTATTAAATACAGTGATATTTACATTACTAAGTGATATTCACATCATCATATAGAAACCTCCTGAAGACCCAACGCACGCAGCCAGAGTAAGACAGCATTGCTCTCCTTAATTTACAGGTTGAGAGTGCGGCTTTTCTGAGGTAAACACAGGCCCAGTGGACCGTAAATCCATACTGACAATGGTGAATCTGAAATGGGAGGAATCATCTAGGCAAATCCAGTCCTACCAGGCAAAAGCTAAAGTACTGACATATATGCTAGAGAAACATCTAACACTTCAGAAGAAGGAATTTCAGCATTCCCTTACTGTGACTGCCCACTTTGCCAAGCTCTTTCTCCGGAAAGAACCGCAACTCACTGATCTGCACTATGAGGCCACCTTCTCCTTGGGTCCAGTTGTTTGGACATAAAGTGAGGAAAGACCTGCTCAGGCTAAATAAAAGGTCTCTTCCAAGAGCTGGAATGCAGACAGCAAAACTCTGACTTAGCTGCTCAATAAGTGGAAAGGCAGATCATGTAAAACTAGGGTGGGGTGACCAAATGTACCCCAAGAAACTGACTGGAAAGGGACATGACAATGAGGAAGAAACACAACACAGTGCAGAGATGACAGACCCTTCGGGAAGTGTAAGGAGAAGCCTGTCTCACACGTCCAGGATGGCCTGGCCCGTTCTCTGCATGGGAGTTCTGTGAGACACTTCTTGGGCTTGTAATAACTTGCCCTTTTTTATGGATATGATCCCTCTTGCTTGATACCAAATAACCTAATTTTATTAAATAACTTAGGTTCTAATGCACAAGACCATCCTTGACTCAGACGAAAGGTGAACTCTTCTATAAGAGCGTATTTTCAATACTACTGTCCTGAATAACAGTGTTGGTCTGTGATCCCCATCTGTCACGGAAACAAGTGGAGAAAGACACCTGCACCAAAAGCTCCTATCAAAACAACAGCTCATTTTAGCCGTTTTATTCGGGTGGCTCAAAAGCCACTTATCAGACACAACCTTGGTATGAAGAGTTCTGGATTAAGACTGAGAAAGCAAAAATCAAACAAAGAAACCAAGTAACTAGCATGCAGCCCTGGTTTGCCATACATTTACTAGTGCCCTTAAACGAGTTCCTCGTCTATTCTGGGCCCTGATTTCTTGTTAATAATCTGAAGGGCTGGATTATACATTTTCTGAGGTCCTGTTCACCTTAGCACAACAGGATTCTATGGAGTGAACATACAAAGGAGCGCTTCCAAAGGCAGCTAACTAAGGCAGATGTGTAACGTATCATGTGGTGGGCCATGAGCAGGGAGCTGAAAACCAAGGTCACTCAACTTTATCAGGCGTTTTCATCAGCAGACGTTTCCTGTGACATTACAATGTGTGGAAATAAAACTAATGCAACTGATTTCTTTCTTGGACTGTGAAAAATACTCTTAATTACAGTCACACCTCATACGGCTTAACAATGAAACGCACCTCCTACTAGCTACATGTTGCAGAATGTGCTCTGATGGTAATCTGGCACTGGAGTCTCAGTGGTTGAAAAGTGCACATTACTAACACGTTTCTCACGGGTGTCCTCTCAATTTTTCAGTTAAATCTATCTAACTATATCACAGTGCAGTCACAGACCTATACATAAATATAGGATCACTACAAGTAAGTAAAATACAAAGGAAGGGAACTGATGGAAGTACGTGGTCAAAATAATTCACTCAGCTTTCTAGCTTTAAGAACACAGCGTGTGAGCAGCGCAGCAGTGTACCTATCTGCACGCAGTCGTAAGTGTTATTTAATCAGAAAGTTATTCTTATAAAGAGTTGGCATTAACTGCTCAAGTAAAATGAAGTCAGAATGCCTCCAAGTTCTTTCTAATCACACAGGACTGTTACCACAATAAGGCCATACTGACAAGATATTTAGCTCAATTTACAATTTATATTGGCTTAAAACCCACAGTGTAAACTATTAAGTGTCATATTACATGAAAATGGCAATATGCAAAAAAGTAAACTAGGTTAGAACTTGTGTGTCCCCATCTTACGTAATAAAGCCACGTCAGTCACACGCACCCAGTGGACGCGTACTTACTGACAGCAACAATGAAGTCTTTGTGCAACTTGTACGTCATCAGTGGCTCTGCAAGGCACCTGTGACAGAAGCGAAGGGTGTTTAGACCGGCAGTACCCCCGCCCCCACCGCCAGCACTTCCTCAAGAGCTTGGTGATTATTTCTTGTCATGAAAAATCAAATAGCAAAGGGGCTGGGGATTTAGCTCAGCGGCAAAGTGCCTGCCTGGCAGGTGCAAGGTTGTGAGTTTGATTCCTGGTACAAGAAGAAAAAAACAAACAAACAAACAAAAAAATTAAATAGCAAATATATTCATTGAGTGATTATGCAGCATAAAACGCGGACTTCCAAGATGCAACAGCCCTTTGCACCCGCAGCCACGGCTGCATTAGGGAGTTTGAGACAAGAGCAAAACTGACCACAGATATGGGGACAGTGGCTTGGAAAAAAAAAACTAAAACTTACTTCAGTTGTTTTAAAAATACACAAGAACCTAACGTACAAATTTAATATAAAAAAAAATCCTAATTCCCACTCACAAAATGTTGCAGCCTTTTTGTCACTATTGGAAAAGCAAGTTCCAGAATGCTGAGGGGGAGGGTTACCACCTTGCCCCCTCTGCCTTACACGAAGGCCTGGGACAAAGGTGTCTGCACGGGGGGTTCTGAGGATCAGAGGAGCACTCACTGCGCGCAGGGCAGGGAGGGGGCACACCCTGAGCCCGCAGATAAGTCCCCTCACCTGAGGTAGTTTTTCAGCCCACTTGTTATCGTCTTGTTGTCCCACAGTTCGATGTCAATGTCAATATCAGGAGGGGACTTAGGTGCTGGAAAGAATAAAAGCAGGTGTGTGAACTACAATTCAAGAACTCCCTATGCCATTATGAAAAGGATACCAACTAGGAAGGTCAAAAGAGACATGCATTCATGTTTTCAGATGCCAAGGAAGTTAACTTTAGGATTTGTTCTCTGGATGAGCTGCTAAGAAGCTCATTTTGATAGTGAACCTCAGAGGTACCTGATGGAGTCACAGTCTCCCAGGTCAACTTAACATTATTTGCTAACAGGACAGGGTGCTTAACAGGTACCTGGCAGGCTTTTAAGTCTTCTGCATGGATTAACAGATGCTAGTATCTATAGATGAGGAAGCTGAGACACAGAAAGGTTAAGCAAATTACTAAGGATCATAAAACTTTTAATTGGACAAGTTGGGATTCCAAGCCAGGCAATTATTCTATCTTTAGCTAACTGAAGGACATTTTAGGAAACTCCAGTATTACAAAAATGCCTCTCCAAATTCTGATTGTGTATTTATTACAGATGAACATCCATAAAGAACACAGAGGGTGCTCTGTAGTTCTGTGGTAGAGCCATGCTTGGCACGTCCCAGGACCCGGGCACTAACCCAGCACTAACCCCCTTCCATATCATCCAAAAAACTGAATGCAAATATCAAATGTCCAACATTATTTGAAAATATTCAAGAGAAGCAAACATTTATATTTCAAATAGAGCTACAGTCTGGGCTACCAATAGAAATATCAAAATTAACTTATTTCATCTAAAACTTACAGAACGTGGTGGTCATGAGTTTCTGAACCTTGGAGTTCACGCCCCCTATCCGATAGAGCCCTAAAATGGTGATGCCTAAGGGAAGGAGAAAATCACAGGAAAATGGCCTGAGACACAGTTTCCAAGTGCAGAACGTTAAAAACACAGGCGTACGCCTATACAGAATTTGAGAACTACTTATCCAATTTTACAGTCTAACTAAGCAAACCTGTCCCGGAAAACACCTATCAGACATACTCCTCAGAGCAGACACTGAACAGTCATTTGAAAGTCTTTAAAGATCTTGAAAGTATCAATGTATCCCTGCCTATCCACAATTTCTGAATATGATAAAGCATCGCAACAGAGATGGTCCACGTTCCTCATCTTCTGCTTCCAAGCCACTGACTCCTGCAGCACTGCTGAACAGTCCTGTAGCATTTATATCTTCATTTTGAATGCGAGGAAACAGATTCAGAAAATTCAAGGAACACACTTAACCTCTCAAAACTTCTAAGTGGCGACACTAACATTTGAGTATGTTCACAGACCTCCAAAGCCCGATATGAATTTTGTTTTAGACAGGTTTTAGCGGAAATAAATGTGTCTAACACTAACTGGGGTAAGCTTCACGAGAGGTCATCACTAGAGTGAGACCAGCAGCGACTGAAATCACTACACAAGAGAAAACGGGGCAGAAAAGTGGCTGAAGATAAGCTTCCTCAGTCTCACCTCTCAATGACTGACAAATCACAGAGAAAAAATTATGAAAAAGGTAGTGTAACTTTTGGTGAACTGAAGATCAAAGCGCAGTTATTGGTATATTTATATAATTTATACATTTACACCATTCTTAAAATCAATGTCATGTCAATGACAAAAAATACACTTTCTTTCTTCTAATCTTTTTTTTGAGACAGGGTCTTGCTATGTAGTCCCGGCTGGCCCTGAGCTCGCAGTGATCCTCCTGGATCAGCCTCCCGAGTGCTGGGATTACAGGTGTGCGTAACCACACACAGCTGCACCTTCACCTTCTACTCTGACAGGCTTCTGTGTAAGAATCGGTCACACGAAAGCAACGTGTACCTGTTCGGCAACGCTCACCTCTTGTTTCCACAGCTTGGATGCATTTTCTCACAAAGTTGAACCCTGCTTCATTTAAGTACACTGAAAACAAGAGCAAGTCAAATTAAGTGTTGATGTGAAACATAAATTTCCCCTCAGTTGACCTTGCTCCCTTGTTCCTTGTTCCCTGTGCTTTCACCTTGTAACAGCGAAGTGCTTATGATTGAGTTTATCAAACATTTCAGCTAGAGCCTAACTTTTTAATTTTGGGGTAAAAGTATAATAGGAGAGGTTCACGCTCACAATTACTACGCCTATCAGCTTATGAACAGGCTTAGATACTTCCAAGAAAGCATGTTATATTGATCCCATCTATTTCTCTTTCCAAGGTGACAAAAGTCAAGGCTAGAAGAATAAACCTTTATGTTGTGTCAAAGTTGTATTAAAGCCTCTGACTTATTCTTTCCCATGGGATTCTAAAAACAAGAGTGTAAGGGTCTGAAGTTGCTAAAACCTTCACCTTTCTGTTCTAAGCTCTAGAGTTAGACTTTAGTTCTCCTGTTCTAAGCCTGATGCTTTTTGTATGACACTCTGTTTCATACTCAAAGTAATCTAAAACATATTTATTTAGTGAACTAAGAACCACTCAAATTCTACATTATAAAACAGCAAATTATTTTCATTTTTTTCTAGAGTTTCTCTAAATCCATGTTAATTTTTTTAAGGTTGTAGGGCTACAACCAAATTAGACTATCTACATAAAGAAAAAGCATTTAAGAATTTTACTAAGTGCCATCTAGAGGGAAAACTTGAAAATCTTTTGTACTATAAGGAAAATTTTCATCTCATGTTGTGGTTATAACATTTTCAATATTCTTAAGTAACAATAAATGAAGATAATTCAAATTGATAAAAATTTGAAGCTGATTTCCCCAGAAGAATTGTGAATTAACCACAGGTCCATAGAGAAAAAGTAGATACCAAAATAATTATGATAAAAATCAAGAAAAAGTACTAGCAACAGGCTAAAAACTGAAACAATCTGAGACACAGGACACTAATAAAAGTAAAATGCTTAACAAAATACAAGAGGCAGTAGCACAGAAGGGCAGCATTATGTGTCGTTAGGTAAAACGAGTAACTGATAAGACCGTAAGGCCTACATTTTTAAAATGCAGAAATCTGAGTGTATGACTATTTCAATTATTCCACAAAAAAAGTTCATAAAGATAGATGCAAGCTCTTCATAAGAAGATGAAGGCTGAAGGTAGAAACTGTCAGTTTTATTCACTAGACTTTGGAATCATTTGATTCCCAAATCTAAGTACTAAAATATATTGAGTACTTTAAATATAGCACCAGTAACCTGGAAATAAAAATGTCCAAAGTGAAGTATGTTTGGCTGTAATATGAAGTAGCTGACGTATTTCTTAGCGTCCAGCGCCCTGCATCTAGAGAACGGAACTCAGGAGGTATTTCAGGTGAGCTCACGCACACAAGCGATAGCGGCTTACAGAGAAAAGCCCTCCGTGAGTGTGCACTGCGGTCCTGCACAGATCTTGGGAGATGGTAAAAAATACGAGCCCTGCCGGGCACGGTGGTGCCCAACTATAATCCTAAAACTCAGGAGGCTGGGGCAGGAGGATCACTGTGAGTTGGAGGCCAGCCTGGGCTACTTAGTGAGTTCAAGGCCAGCCTGAATTACACAGTGAGACTCTCTCCCGCAAAAAATCCCAAACCAAAAAAAAAGATGAACATTATTTTTCAAAGAAAGATATTGCGTTCTTTTTTTGGGAGGCGGTGGGGGAGGACACAGCAATGAGCAACGATTTGTTTCTTTCATCAGATGCAGAAAAAACATTACGTGGGGAGGCCTTGCACCCCTAGCTGGCCACTGACGTAAGCTGTATACTAAGAGACGTTCTTCTGTATTCATTGTACGTCCACAAATCAGAATGAGCAGATATACCCTCTCACTACAACCAGACAGACTGCAGCAGACGGGCAGTCCACTGTCCTGTATTTGTTGCCTGTTCCTGCGGGAAAACTGTATTTCTCAGCATCCATGAAGACAGACTTGGTCATGTGACATATGTCACTACCCAGGAGAACTGGCAGCCTGTAATAGACAGCTTCTGTTTGCTTTGTTCTCTGGCACAAGATAAGCAATGTTAAGGAGCAAGTTTCTCGACCACCCTGCGTTTCAGAGTGAAAACTGTGAGTCACTGTGGACCTATACCTAGCACCATGACCAAGAAATGAACCTGTACTGTGGCAAGGTGCTGAGAACTGAGGACCGTCCATCACCACAGCCCAGTCCGGCCGGCTCTAACTTAATTACGCATAACGTAAAGGGTTTGCTGTGGCAACGAGGATGCAAGAAGATAAAGCCAGTGCTACAGGATTAGTTTTTCCTTCTTAAACTGGAACACATCTCTTTTTGACTACTTTCTTGTTGATTCGTACAATGAAGGCAGCACAGAGCAACAGGGCCAGCACTCAAGCACGGCTGCTTTGCGAAGTGCAATTCAGCAGGATCTTCACTCGAGCACCCAGCATGTTCTGCTGAGGGCTGAGAGGAAGACAAAGCGGCCCAGTTTGTCTCCCACAGATTTGACAGAAGATGTAGCCACAGGACTGTCATTTCTTAGGGCAAACAGATTTTGCAATGGAAAATAAGCCATTTTCAAAAGCCATGAAGGGGTCATCACACTTATTATACCAGTCTAATGAAGATTCAACTAAAATAGGTTTTTTTGTAGCCTAAAAGAAAGAAAGAAAAAAATTGGCTACTCCTTATGTCCACAAGAAATGTCAGTGGACAAGGTTATTACACGTCAAACTGCACCGTTAAATATGGACATTTTACTGTAATTCTCCTTCAGTGGGAGACAAAGTGCTCCTGCTGTGGCAGAGGAGAGGTACGTACGCACACACAGCAGAAATACTGAGTGCTGAGTCGGGGCTCAACACCTAGTCCAGAGCAGGCAGTGAAGAAATGCTTACAGCTTGATGGTTTGCTAGCCACCGGTTTGTACCAAGCTTTCTCTACAAGCTTGGCGGCTACTACGAGGGCTAGGATGCATCAGCTAACACAAGCTACTTTTGCGAGTACCTCTCAGCTCTGTATCTCCCCGCTGTTTGGGAGGACACCCAGAAGCCAGCAACTACCAAATTCCCAGGAACAAACATTCTATCATTTTAGTGGTGCTTGGCCTTCAGTGGTAGAATCAGAGAACAGACTAACTTAATGAATTCAACTTATTCAATCAAAAGTTAAATTTAAATAGTTACCACCTCCCCCACTCTGGAAACTGTTCAGGGCTAAAGCTTTTATTGAAACCCAGATAAAGTTTAAGGCCATTTAGCAGCACAGAAGCTATTAATCTCAAGAGAATTCAAGCAGCTGTGAGGACAATAGAAGGAACGGTCTTCTGTACAGCTAGCAAATCAAAAGACCTTGTACTTTCAATTTCCTCCTACCGCAGAATCTAGGACAGATGTGCCGTTTGTGGACTTGCAGGGCATTCTCATGGTTAACAGCACCAAGCAAAGCTTGTCTTTTTTAAGGGGCTTCTTTTTCTGATCTTCTTCCTTTTTTTTTTCTTTAACTACCTTCCTTTATTTTTGGTAAGGGAATTGAACTCAGGGCCTCACGCTTGCCAGGCGAGGCACTGCACCACTGAGCTACATCCCCAGCCCAAAAACTTGTCTTTAACTTAAATTTCTCTTTGTAACCTGCCATCTCAGGTTACACACGCATCTAATATCATACTATATGTGCTTTGAAAGAAATATAAAAAAAGAAATGAGTGGACACTGGTCCTTTCCTCTTCTTCCTAAAGGATGAACAATTAACACTCCAGTGTTGGCCTAAACTGTTCTTTCATCCTGCTTTGCACATAAAAAAAAGCTTCAGTTATGTCCCTGCTTGATGAAAAAAAAAGCTGTATTTGATCAAAGGTCTAAAGGGGGATGCGCTAAAGGATGGTGTTACATAGGGTGTCTGAGAGCTCCCAGAATGAAACTAGCTCACATCAGCATGAACCCCAAAAACATGCATGACAGATGGCAGCTGGGTGCCTAGAATAAGAAAAATAAGTTTCATTTTCTGTTTATTGCTGGGAAGAATATACCTGCTAGTCAGTTATAGGAAAAGCCACTGAGAAGGGGTCATATAATTGAAAGTTGACCAGAAACTTTACAGTTAGCTTCTCCAGTCCCTGTGCTTTTGTATGAGGTCCTTTAGGTCACTTTGTCTTTACGAGATGAAACAGTGGTGTTTATGAGTGAAATGTCTTTTAAAAGGACTTGCTAAATTTTATTCACAAACCTGGATGCATGGTGAAAATACTGTTGACTTAACTGCACAAGAAAATAAGATCTAAGTATCTTTTCTTTCACAATTCTCACTTGGTTCAAAACCAGGGTGAAAGATTAGCTCAAACACCACCAGTGAAAGTCACATTTGAGTGGACAAGACACAAGATATCGACAGAGAATGTCAAAGAAAGAAAATTGAGGAGAAAGAGTCACTTCTTTTGCCTTTATTAAAGTCCCCAAATGGAGGTCTTGGGATGGGAAATGTATTCAAAATAGTAATTTTTGTGTCCCTTGATAAATGAATTCAAATGGCTAAATTAAGAAGAACTATTACTAAGCTACTTTTGAATAAAATATTAACAACGAGACAGCTTGAGGACTAGTTTAGTTCTAGTCTTAATCCGACAGGATCTGTTTAATACTGATGATAGATATAACTTCAAGATGAATTAACGACCCTAAATCTTACAATTTCAGGAATAGAACATTATGTAACATCTTACAACCCAAAGGGTATTTCTTGATTCAGTACCTTGTAATTGACCAATGCTTTATGTGTTTTTTTACTCGACACTTTGTCATAAAGAAGATGCAAGCTTCCTTTCTTAATGGCATTATTCCAGTTTCATTCGCAAGATCTACATTCCGAAAAATGGTGAGTTAAGAGTAACTACAAAGTGAGGTGGTTTTTTTTTTAAATGACAGTTTTGTGAGGAAGCTCCTTACTGCACAGTGACAGCACAGCATTCATTCCGCGCCACACGCTCTCTGTATAGTCATGGCATGGCACTCTCGTAGATGGTTTTACATACTAAAATCGACATAACGACACTTCTGGGGTGGGAGGTCAAGTGCCAAATAAAAAGGGGCACGAGATCTCAAAAACAAGATGATACACAGAAGCGTAGGAGTTGTAAAAAGAGATAAATGTCTCTAAATCTATAAAGCTCAGATGATCTTTAAGAGGTCAAATAATATCAAATCACTGGAATGTACTTTTAAAATAAATTTTTTTAAAATTTCATTTTAAAGAGAAAAAAATGATAAAAATGATACAGAAGTTCAAAACAAGATGACAGGAAATTGACAATGGTTGTTATATAGCATATTGTTATGTTTGAAGTAGTTGCTCAGATTATCAGATATAGGCATGCAAAACCGATCAAACTGATAAGCGCTGTTTCTTTCAATGAACTAAGAGCAATTAGTAGTACAATTATCTTAGCCGTCTTGTGTGTGTATGTATGTATGTATCTATCCAGATATATTCCCCCACTTCCTTCTTTTCTTCTTTCCCCCATCCCAGTTGTTCTTTCGTTTCGAGCAGTTTCTTTCCCTTTCACAATATCTACTGCACCTTTTGGATCTTATTTACTCTTTCAGTTTCTTATACAAGGGAGGCAATACAATGTTTACACATGTGAATCTGATTTATTTCACTTATGAGTATGGTCTCTAGTTGCATCCATTTACCTATAAAAGCCTCGAGTTTTTCTTCTTTTATAGCTGAGCAGTACTCCACTGTACAAAAATACCACATCTTTTTTATCCATTTCTCTGTTAATAGGCATTTGGGTTGTTTCTAAGATTTGGCTATTATAAATTGTGCTGCTATAAACATGGGTGCACATATATCACTGTGGTATGACATTTTTAGTTCTTCTGGGAAAAGACCCAGAAGGGGAATAGCTGGGTTGAATGGGATCCTAGCTGGACCTCCAGTGTTTGAGGAATCTCCAGGCTGATTTCCACAGTGGCTGTGCCAGTCTACACTCCCAGCAACAGTGGAGTAGGGTTCCTTTTCCCCCACAACCCTGCCAGCGCTTGTTATTGGTTGATTTTTTTCATGAAGGCCATTCTTTCTGGGGTGAGATGGAATCTCAAAAGCATGTATAAAACAAGCTAATCAAGGATAAAAGGTAGCAAAAGGTGGTAGATGATTACAGGGGACATAGAAGATGATGAAAAACACATGAATTGTGTTCAAAAAAATTGGTTTGAAAGTAATGATCCAGGAATGATACACTGAGACTTTTTCCTACATCTACTGTATACCAAAACCAGCAGAATGATCTTGTACTTCTGGGAAAATTGGGGCAGAGAAAATAAGATAAACGAGCCGTAAAAAAATCAAACAGTATATGAACTGCTTCAAATGTTTATCAAGGATAAGGCAGTACTGTACACATAAAAAAGTGAACAAAAGCCAAAGAAGTAAAAAGCACTTTGGTAATTGCAATTGGGGTATACTTCGGTGGTTTTACCATGAAAATCTTCATGGTTCCAGATTTCACCATTTGATCGATGGTGTATCAGTACTATTTCCCTACAGCGAACACAATATCACATAATGCTTTTGTGATACAAATGATTATGTAATACAATTTCAAATAATTTTAAAATAACTTGATTGGGCACATAATAGAGGTGCACAACCTCAGCCATTTCCAGTACCCCAAGGGGCCTGGGGCTCCTTACACTCTGGCGCGTGAACCCGAGGCGGCCAGCTCATTCTCTGCCACCTGTGGTGATCCTGTGCCTACTACAGACTGCACAGCAAGAGCAGGTCACTAACTCAGAGCCAGCCTGTCTCAGACCTTAGGGACAGCGGCCTCTCTCTACCCAACCAGTGTGAAAAGGAAGCATCCCTGATTAGGGTACAGGCAGACACACGCCCAATCTTACTTTTCTCTATAGCTTGCAAAGTGGCCACTAAGAATGCGGCGTTACAGTGCTTATTTAGGAGAAGCTGCAGGTAGAGGTCACCCGTCAGAGTCAGCTCTAGAATCCAGCATGTTCCTTCTACTGTTTTACCATTTATCTGTCACGAAATGTAAACTTTGGTTTTATTTTGGGCCTGCTCCAAGGGGTAAACCAAAAAGTAGAAAGGATTATTTCTGATTAATAGCAGAAGCTGTTTCCAACTCAAATATACAAGGTCTTAATTCAAGAGTCAGGAACTGTTCATACCAATCAGAGATTTTGAAGGGAAAATAAATGACTTACTTTCTTCCTTCTTACTAATAATGGCAGGCAGCGTGTAAATCTGAAAAACAAAGGGTGTCTATCAGTTACTTGCAGTTAATGACCCGGCACAGAAGACTGGCATGGTGGTGCTTGTAAAGTGCACACAGGGACTGCCTCGATCTCAAGGGCTCACAACCGCTGTGTCCACAACACCCTTTGCCCCTCCTGACAACGACCCCCTGCTTATGCTGAGGCCCACCTTGCCTCACGCTCCGGCCCCTGCAGTCCTGCCCCTGCAGTCCTGCCCTGGGCAAATTTCTCCCGACCATCTAATTTAAATGTCTTATTCTCTTCCTCAACACGATACATAATATACCTTCTGCAGGAAGTGTCGCACAACGGATTTCACCTGCTTGTTCCCTCCTCAAATTATCTACTTCATGCTTTGCTTTCAGTGTGCATAATCCTAACTGTACCTTGCTGTCCTAACAAACTGTCCTTAAAATTTGCTCTAGGTCAAGACTTATTAATCATTTGTGGTGAAAAGCCAAAGGTTTTTTTTTTTTTTTAAAACCTGTCATTGGTTGGGATTTTATAAAATACTGTCAGGTTGAAATAGAAAATGATAAAAAAATAGACACGGAGCCCAGTGTTTTCTGATTAAATTTATCAGACTTATCAAGTGGTTAGAGAATGTTGTAAAGGGTTGATCAGAACTGCTGCACGGAGCTTATTGTGGGTTGGCCGTGCAGTGTGAGGGAGGGCCTCCAATTTGCTGACTCCGGGTCACACGGCCGGCACACAGGCATTGGCTGGGGTTGTTCACAGGCTCTCTGCTCTCTAAAGGAGATTCTAAGCAGGGGTGGCACACCCTATTCTTTATGCATGCTCCGCCCTCTCTGATCTAGCACCTGTGTTAAGAAAATAAACAGTGATGGACTCTTCCTCCCCAGTATCAGGAAGTAAATTATCATTCCAACATCAAAGTAACCACGAGCAAATGAGGAGGGAAAAATGTCACACCAGGGAGTTTTATCAAATGAGACTGTCTTACAGAAAGTGGCCCGGACTAGAGGGTCAGTTCATGCCTTGAACTCCGTTCATCACTCTTCATAATCTCCAGCACAAATCTTGTAAAACCCTGGCATGCATTAACCATGGACGAACACACTGACAGAAATAGTGCAGCCAGCTAATGGTTATAAGATTTTAAAAAGTAATTTCAGAGTTTTAAATTCATCCTGGAAAACTAAATTAAAAGCTGAAATTATGTGCCAGGGACTAAGACAACGCTGGGCAAACAGTACACATCTCTACTCCCCTGATCCAATACTTTAATACCTTCAATTAAACCACAATCACATGACAAAAAGTTCAGCTGTACTTTGTAACTTTTAGAATAAGAAGACATAAATTACAGAACGTGTCACGTGCTTACCGGTTCCTTCCCATCCATGGCTTCCAGCCAGAGTTTCCTATTAGCTTCAGAGAAGGCTTGTAACGTGATGATCCCGTGCCTACCAAAACCAAACGTTTGACATGCTAAGTTTATTCTCGCCATGTCTTTAAATGATTTTTAAGTTCTTAGTTAACTACAAACATAAAATTTGAAGGAAAAAAAGAAAAATGGAGAGAAAAAAGTACAAATTAAAAAGACAAAAAATTTGACTTTTAAGTACTGTTTAGAAAAATCACTGTGGGTGATTTAAATGTTTGTAATTCTGACGATTACGGGTAATAAGATCATTATGTGCTTTAGTACAAGACTGTCAGAAGAAGCTAGCTCCAAACTATGCCTTCTGAGACGACCAAAAGGAATGACAAAAATACATTTACAAAATTTAAAGCTTCCTAAATTTCCCACAGTATCAGAATGATTGTGTTGCTTCTGATTTGGTATAACCTGATCAACTAATACAATTATGATGAGTACACAGCAATGTGGGAAGTCTCAGACCATGATTAATAATTAAATACCAAGCACACAATAAATAATAGTCAGTAATAAAAATGATACTAAACCCAAAGCACTTCTTTATATCATTATCACAACATTAAAATTAATTCAGCTGAAATAATTTTCTCCCACGAGGCGCTGCGAAGGAGTTATGAAGGGGCGCGCTTTCAGAGCGAAAGAGCACAGGGAAGAACCAATACACCAAGAAAAGGATCCGAAACCTGAGAAAGGAATGAATCTCATTAAACAGGACATTAGAGGACTCTGAAGAGGAATGCTGAGAAGAAACTTTCACTAGAGATGTGTGATTAAAGACTTGGAGTGATTCAGAGAGACAGTAGTCTGCACCTCTTCTGTAAATAGGAACTGGAATGTGCTTTGCACATACACTAACTACACACGTAACAGAGCATTATGTACGGGAATGGAGCGGGGAGGAGCGGGGAGGGAAGGGGATGAAAAGTGCAATTCCGATAGTTATGCAAATGCACCCACTTCCCACAAGGAATGTGAATGTCTGTATTCCACACATGTACTAATAAACTAAAATAAAAATTAAAAAATAAATATATCATTGGAATGATAGGAAAAGAAAAATGTACGTAAAGATGAAGATAATTTGATGTTGGGGATTTCAGCCAGTGTAACGGCATCAATAGCACCGTTACAATGACAGTAAGCACTTGTTGGCTAGTGACATATTTTTGCGCATGTGTTAGGCATGGTGTTAATCGCCGATGCTTCTTTCACTGTCTCATTTAACCCTCAAGCTAAGTCTTGGAGGTACCTCCTCTACAGATGATGTAACAAAAGCATACAGTTTGCCAGGCGTAGTGGTGCACGCCTGTAATCCCAGCACTCAGGAGACTGAGGCAGGAGGTCGGCCATGAGTTCAAGGCCATGAGTTCAAGGCCAGCCCGGGCCATGAGTTCAAAGTCAGCCTGCACCACACAGGGAGACCCTGTTCCCCCTCAAAAAAGCACAGAGTTTAGCTATGCATCCTGCGGAGATAGTATAACTAGAATATGCTAAAATAAAATGATAAAATAATAAACTGTAGATATATATCTAAATACAAAGTTTAGAGTCTTTACTATAAATCTATTAAAACTAAGAAGTAGTTCAGCAAGTCTGCTGGATATGAAACTGATATATAAAATGAACTAACAGCCTTTCTACACTGCAATCTCAATCATTTAGGAAAAAAATTCCCTTTGAAAAGAATCTGATCCACCATTGCAGTTAAAAGGAAACCAAGAATATATCAAAAGACAGATACGTAAAATTTTCAAGAGTTCAACTCTTCATCAATTAATTAATAACTTTAATGTTATACCAGCTGAATCCTAAAGAATTTATGTTTTAAACAAAGGAGGGGAAATTTAGTATGCCGATCTCCAAAAGTATAAGAAAGAAAAGCAAAACAGCCAGTACAATTTTAAGGAAACATAGGAATGGGACCCTTGCCTTATAGTGAGTATAAGCTATAGCATATTACACATAATATCGTAGTATAGATAGTGCACACACATAAACGAATACAACATGCTACAGAATTCAGAACAGTAAGGCAATAACACAACAGGAAAAGAATAGATGGAGATCATGAAGCAGAGAGCAAGAAACAGTCCCCCTCGTATTTTCTTTCTGTTCTACTTGTATTGGCACAGCAAAGGAGCAGAGCTAGGCAGTTTCATTAGATCATGAACTCAGATGGAGTCATTTATCATTCTTCTAATAACCTACGGATGAGAATGCCCAGACCAGTGCTCCCCACGCTGTGTGTCTCCTGTAGGCATGAACTTAGCTGGCTGCGGGAGGCTTACGGTGTTCCCTTCCGTGCCTTCTTATTCCTGGGAAGCAAGGTTCCCAGACTCCAAAGGCCTACAAAAGCCAGGCCCTAGAACCAAAAAAAGAAAGAAAGCAAGCAGAAAAAAAGCCAGGCATGGTGGCACTCAACTGTAATCCCAGCACTCGGGAGGCTGAGGCAAGAGGATCACCTCGAGTTCGAGGTCAGCCTGGGCTACGCAAGTAAGTTCAAGGCCAGTGTGCACAACATAATGAGACTCTGTTGCAAAAAAAACAAACGCAAAAACAAACAAAAATCCCCCATAGGATTGTACAAAAAGAAAAAAAAAGCTTTAGGTTCCTTCTTTACAACAATTGCACCTAATATACTCATTTACATGGATAGTTCAGATTTCTCGCTGAGGTTATGTTTTGCTACCTTTCTGCGTCTCTTTTTAAGATCATACAATAACACATGTGAATGAGGTAAACATGTACGCTGCTTTCAGAAAGAGTGAAAACACTTGTGTGGTATTTCATGTTTATATCTAGACACAGAAACAGAAACGGTTTAACATAAAAACACAGAGTGAGAAGAAAAGCTCAAACCTTTCAACAACTTCTATGTCAAAGCAGAATCGTTTGTCAATTGAATCTGTCTTTCGTCGGATACAAGATTTCAACTTGAACATTTCTGGTGAGCTAGTAACGAGGCCGTTCTGAAACGATAGAGGATCATGTTACTAACATGAGGAGGAGAACTGAAATATACTACATACATGATTTAGAGCTGTCAAAAGTATAAGTTATACATGAAGGTCATAACCTTACACTTTTTCAATCTAACAGCGGTTCCATTAGAATATATCAAATCATTGCTTAATTAATAACATACACATGTTTTATTTCAAAGAATTCTGTGACATACCTATTTAATACTTATCAGCACATTTCCTTATAATGTTAAGTTACACTGCACAAGTCCTTACAACTTCAGATTTTGAGAAGGCATGAAATTACAGAGTTACGGTACCATTACAATTACATACCCAATACTTGTTAGGATACCACACTGTTGCTGTCAATCAAAATTTCATAGATTGTAAGGGATTATTATCATGTTAGTGTGTCCTTGTATTAGTGCTTTACGGTATCAAATGATGGCTACATCAAAGTCGCCAGAGTTACCAAAACAGTAAGTTCTATGATATACTTGAATATACTGCTATGCTTAGCACACCACGTGACTGCTTCGGTGCTAACCAACTGCTACCATGCAATTAAAACCAAAACTCTCTGGACAAAATGGAATCTAGGCTCAGTTTATAGGACTTCTCTTTTATATCTGAAATGCCACTCTATTCTAAGGGTCAAATTATCCAATGTCTGGTTAATTTTGTTTGGTTACAAGTGTCACAGATTTATTAACAAAACTTTGGCTTGATGTATTTACAGTATTAACTCCCTGTCATGTAAGTTGGCTTTCTGGCAATTACTACTCTAAAAAACTGAAACTAGCTATGTTAACGGCACTTACTAACTTCTCACGATGGTATTGATCTACGGTTTCTTTTTTTTTTTTTCTGCTATGTTCTCCTTTATTTTATGTCGTTTGGTTTGAATACTTTGACTCATGAATGCCCAAGCACAGTAAGTTTCAGCCAGCGTATTTGAGTATGTGTCTAACTTCGATCAACTTCTACCTCTGCCATGATCTATACTAGAAATTAGTTGTGTGAGTCACTTACTATTAGAAACGTACTTCTGGACCTGTTGAAATAAGCTTAGACTAATTATCTCTAAGATGACTCCCAGGATTCTTAGATCAAGCGCTAACAATCCAACTAGAGTGCAGTCATTTGCCATACGCGTATCTTAACTCACAAAAAGGTGCAGCGCATTCACTACAGCGCTGGGCGGCGTTTCGTCAAACAGCGAACACCGTGTCCTGCACCGCTGACCAGCCATGCAAGACACTCAGCGCCCAGTTTACTTTTGGAGCAAGCGAGCGTTGATTGGTTTCTTCTAAGCAACTTGCTGGCCAGTGTTCTGGTAAACAATACAGTGCAGAAGAGGCAAAGGCATTCAAGGATGACTGCAGTGCCCGATAGGGACCACAAAGGGTGCAGAACCTCCCAGCCCCGGACAGCTGCCGACAGTCCTCACGAGGGTGCCAGCCAAGGCCCAGTACGGGCCGGGAACTCTTGGCCAGGGTGGGGCTGACACCTCAGGAGTGTCTCGGAGGATTCTACATCCGACTCATCTGCTCATAACGTGGACAATTTAAAGGAAAGCCCTGTCGGTAAGGTCACTAAAATGAGAGAAAACTCTGACTTTTTCAATTTTTAAGAACTCACTCATGTAAAGAAAGTGCACGTGATACTCTGTTTTACTTCTATTACTTAATAACAAGCTTAGCCTTTGTTTTAAAAAAAGAACAAACATCTAGAACTAACTCACCATTTTCCCACTGGATTTCATTTCTGAAACACTCATTGTAAATGTTTTACTTCCTTTATCATATGTACAGTAATGTTTAATCCACGTGAAACCAAGTGGTCCTAATAAGGAAACAAAAACATTTCAGATATCAATAAATGATCTGTATGTAAGACTTCACAACACCACACAAGTGAGCACCCCATCTACCATGTTAGCTCGGGACATTTACTGTAAAAAAGGCCCCATGAGGGACAGCAGTGGAGGATACAGTGTCTTAGAATCAAACAACTTGACTTTACTTGTGAATCCCCACTGACTGCAAATTCATGAACTGGGTTGGACCTGCACTTCAGCAGTTAGCTGTAAAGGTGGTATACAGCTGGCTTTTCACATCTGCAGGTTCTGGGCTCATACACTCAACTAACCATGGATTCAAAATATACGCAAGAAAATTTGTACCTGTACTCCACATTTCTTTCACTATTCCCTAAGCAATGCATTATAACCGCTATTTATATCACAGTCACACTGATTAGATATAAGAATTGAAAGGTGATTTAAAGCATGTAAGAGGACATTCATAGGTTATATTAAATATTGTGTCATTTTATTTGAGATTTCAGCATCTATGGACTTTGGTACCCACAGGGGATCCTGGAACTGGTCCCCATACACGCTGAGACAAGTACTTGTGTGTATTCCACGGAGGTAGGGAGGATGAGAGATAGTGCCGGCTGTTACACACGGTGCCCTCACAGCTATTACTGCTCTTTACTCCCGAAGCCACTGTAATAGCCTGCTAAAAACTGACCAGTGCCTTCCACTCTGTCTGAAGCCCTCCAGTGGCTGCCCATTCTGTCCCAGTAGAAAGTGAAGGGCAAGCTGGGCATGTGGTGCACACCCATAAGCCCAGCACTCTGTGAAGTTACAGCAAAGGACCCCAAGTTCAAGCCCCGCCTGGGTAACTTCGTGAGACCTTGTCTGAAAATAATAATAATAATAATCATAATGATAAAGGAAGGGCTGGAGACGCAGTTGGGTGTGAGGTCCCTGGGTTCGATCCCCAGTACTATTAAACAAGTGTGTTGTCCACTAGGCACTGCCCGAGCTGGCCGACATCTTTGTCTTTCTCTCGCCTCACGTCCTATTGCGTTCTCCAGCACACACTCTGCTCCAACCGCACCTCTGCTGGCCCTACCCCAGGACACCTGGACTTACTGTTCCCCCGGCACAGCTACTCTTGCTTCAGGTATCTGCACGACTTGCACTGTCATCTCTTTCAGGTCTTTTACTAAATGCCACCTTCATCACACAGCCTTTCCTGGGAAGATATCTCGCATATCGACACCTTCACCTCGCCATTTCTGTTTCTTCTGAGCAGTTGTAACTGTCTCACACAATAAATTTCACTGATTTATCTTATACACTGTCTGTCTTTGGCAGGAGACAGACAGTCTGTTTTTTTTTTTTCTTTGAGACAGACAATCTTTTGGCTTCCTGACAGCGGGAACATAGGATATTGAGCTGACTCAAATATTTTTAATTCTTAGAATATGGTAAACCATATAACTCATGCTCAATAAATATTTGACAAATATACGAAGGAAGGAATCATTCATCCTGCTTTATGACTTTACTAAGCTTGCAATTATATCCTTTTACCACTAATCTGAAAGAAACAAATTCAAATTACCCCTTAAAGATAAAAATAAGACTGGCTATTAAAAAAAAAACCTTGCACAGATACTTCCTCTTCCCCCATAAATACCGTGCAGCCTTTCCCACAGCACGCCTGCTGTCACCCAGCATTCTCCTGAAGGACTGACCCTGCTGCTTCAGCAGGCTGCGTCCTTGGATCGGTTTTTCCATGACCAAGGTAAAAGACCTGCAGTGTTCCCACAGGGAGGCCAAGTGTCCTGAGCCCAGTTGCGAGAGTGAGCTGAGTGAGCTGAAATTTGAGCTCATTTTCTATAAAGCGTCTTCACCTAGGGACCCATCCTGCTTAACACCCGGATTTCCCTCGCAAGAACTATGCACAGTGTTATTGCTGGCTTCATTTCAAAACTATGTATTTAAAAGCAAGAAACTGAAATGTAAAGAAGCACCTCTTGAGAAAAGTGTTTCCTGAGCCGTTTGAATTATTTTTCTTTAATAATAATGCCCTTGGTGTCAAGTTTAACTTTAGCACTAAGCCACTCCAGGTTTTAAAATTACGGGGTATAGCCATCTACTTTATAAACACAAAGGATTGCTGTAATTAACTTCGCTTCTATTTGGGAGCCATTTCACACCGTAACACTTAACAATGCTTGTTGAGGATTCTGCGATGTGTGACGCAGAAGTACTTAAAGGCTGAGAGCTGATCGGTGGAAAGAGCAGGACGGAAACCGCAGTGACTTTAGTACTTGGCTAAGGCGTTACGAAGCACCACTAGCTGTAACTTTAAAATAAAGCCACTGCAACGCCTGGACCACATATCAGACCTAGGTGTGTTTCCTGCCTCCACCTCAAGTTGGAAACCTCCTACACTTAATCGCGAAGTTCACTGAACACACTTCCCGCTCTCTTTAGGGTCCTCTGGCGGTGGGCCAGGGCAGATGTGTTCCAACAAAAAATTCTGAAGTCCCTAAAAGTGCCTGGGAAAATAAAAATTTACTACAATTTCCAAGTTACAAGTAAGAGTTTAATTATCCCACCTCGTAATCATCTAGGGCTGCCAAGATGACTACTGCAGGAGTGCAAGGGATGTGCATTTGCTGAACGCTTACTACGTGCCTACATTTTATCTAAGAACCTTTTAAGTCGGACATGAGATATTTCACATGTGAGAAAACTGAGTCTCCCAGCTGCAGATGGCAGTACTGCTTTCACTTCTTTCCACAGGGCATGTGATTACATTAGTTTTTTCAGAGGACTGATGCTCTCGAGTTGTTTTAAGAATTGAGTTGGATGTATATTGTACCGAACAGTATGGGATCATGGTAAGCACAGTATTATTTTTATTTCTACCACTAAAAATAGAGGCGTTATACACAGTAGTTCTAATTTGTGCAACATCACTAGGAGTTAATAAATATCTGCTTCATGAGTGAAGAGCCTGCGCTCTGCAAACGGCAAGGCTCGCACGGTTAGACGGTGACACACACGGACTGTGAGCAGGCTTTGACTCCGGAAGCCCTGCCCTTCCCGGTTAACGTCCACTGCAATAGGGCTTTGTGCACGGTAGAGGTGGGCGACGCGAGCGCCATATATCGGGATAAAATGCAGCCGCGTGTCTGTGCTGCGGGGCTCTGCTTCTGTCCCACCACATCTGTCACTATTTCGCTCCAAGTACAGCCCTGAGATTTAGTACTGACCACCGGCGGCCCACGGCTTCTCTTATGCCTTCAACTACACAAGAAACCCGAACCGAAACTCTTTATCTCATTTTCTGGCGCTCACGGAGCTCGCTCGGTGACAGCAAGCTCACCATGAACATACTTCAGTGAGTTTGCTGTCAGATTTTCCTATTACGAACACTTTCCAAGACTCCGAGCTGGAAGAGGCTTTGAATATTTGCCCCTCATATACAAATAATTCCCCAGCATGAATTTTCTTTTTAAATTCTTCGGCAAGTAGAAAGGGCGAGGGCAGAGGTGGGAAAGACGGCGGGAGGGGTTTTCATGGGGCAAGGGAGAGCTCCGAAGGTGGTGAGCCCCTCGTGGGGCGCTGGAAGGTGGTTGCAGAGGCGCACACACGGTAAAATTGCGCAACTGCAAATTTTAAGCCAGAGTAATTTACCGTATGCCGATTACGTATCGGCAAAGCTATAAACACAATGCGGATGGACACACAGAGTCAAGAGGGACACTGCATTGGAGGGTAACAAGAGAGCGGTGTTAAGAAAAGGAGAAAGAGCATCCAACCGTGAGACTCCCGCGTCAGGCGCTGCTACCGGCATCTCCACAGCGCCCGGAGAAAGACCTGCAGGGTCCCCCAGGGCTGGATGAGGGGTGGGAGGCCCCGGAGGCCCGCGGAGGCTGTGATGAGATCAGGCCCGGGCTGAGTTGGTGGAGATGAAGAAGAGTTCAAGGATACCAAGGAGATGAAATAGATCTGGCATCAGGCTCCAGAGAGAGAGGTACGACCTGAGGGTGACCTTCAGCTATGTGACTGAGGAGAAGGCAGATGTCACGGACACACACACAAGTCTTTGGAGGTGAGGTCAGTCGTACAAAAGGTTTAATGATCAGAATAATCCGGAGGAAACATCAGGTATCTTATATGAACACTATCTAAGCCCCATCCCCAAGCGACCCTCGTGGTATTAAAGGGCCTATGCTTCTAGACTGTTCGACCCAAATGTCCAACAGCTTAGAAACAGGTAAACAAGCTATGGTACTGTCCAACGGATGGGATACCAGTTAGTGACCAAAGATGATATATTTGAAAATTATGTTCAAAATAAATTTGTTAGTTAACCCTAAATTTTGTTTTAAGTAAAACATATTAGCTAGGTAGGGTGGCACCTGCCTATTACCCAAGCTACTCAGGAGGCTGAGGCAGAAGAATCTCAAGTTGGGTTCCAGCCTGGGAAACTTAGCAAGACTCTGTCTCAAAAAAAGCAAACCAATAAAATAAAACAAAAATAAAATGTGTACCCATAAGCAACTATTTAATACCTGCAAAGAACTCAAGAGATAAAACATTATTAAGCTAGAAAGAATAAAGTTTACAGACAGAAGGATGGCATCTCTCCTACCCCCACCGCATGTCTGAAGAAGCCTGCCAAGAACTTGCTCTGTTTTGCCAAATCCATCATTAATGAAAATGTTAGCACCCTCAACGTTCTCTCACACGGAGGCTCTCGATCCTGACTTAAAACTCAGTACCGAAAATTTCCTTGAAGTCCCAAGCACAAGCTACAGTATGGACCAACCCTCTGTGAATCCATGCGTGGGTCATTTCTCACAAACTGGGCAGTGGGGTGAAAGCTGGCCTTCATGGCCTAACTGTAGAGTAGCCAGGAAGGTTACTGACGTTTATCATTTTAAGATTTGCAAAGAATACGCTGGCCAAGGTAGATAGCAACGACAGAGCAAATCCTGGAACCCGAATCTCCTGGGCCAGCGTCCTTCTGCTATTTAGACCACAGGGTCATAAATGGTGGCAGAGTCCGATGATCCGACTGTCACTTGCTGGCACCCTGCTGCCCAGCAACTGAACATCACTCAGGCATCGCAAACGCGAAACTTATCCACGTGTTGGTGACCGTGTTGCATATACATCAAAAATTTTCACAGCCCAGTCTGTGCCTGCGGGCTTCCTTCCGTCATAAACCCTTAGACTACATTATTTTACCAAATAAAACAATGTCACTATTCTTTTGCCTCCTGACGTGCAGACTTCAGAAGAGTGCTCGTCTACGTGGGTTTTAAGCTTCGACGTGTGAGAAAGTACAGAGAGCAAGCACAGGCATTTCACAACTTGTAGCAACTCCACACAGCCACTAAGTCTAAGCCCATGATTTCACATTCACAAAGTCACCGTTTCATGATGGATCCAAATACAAACATCAGTGTCGGTACCATGAGACAGTACGAGAACAACTTTTATAGCGTACCTGACTGAAATAGCAGTAATTTAGTCAAAATCTTCAAACTGCTTCTACTTAATGACATCGACCAGGCAGGAAAGGTCCCAGTTTGATAAGCCTGAATGGCTTTTTATTAATTTTTGTGAGAAAAATTTTCTTAACATGAAGCAATTATGATAGTGTTCTCTTGGGCCTGGTACTTATTTTCTAAACCGGGGAAGTAAGGAGTGTCAGTGTGACATGGCACCATTGCCAGTGTTAGTCCTGAACGCTGGCAGAACAGAGAATGAAATGAAATAATGCTGCTGGAGGGAAAAAACTATTATTATAGCTGCCAGGATGATTCATCTTGATAAAGGTTCTGATTTTCAATTTTCCGTGGAGCTTTAAATTGAGTTATCACAGTTAAATTCTAAAACTGAACTTAGGCCACATATTGTCAGTGAAGACGGCAACTTCTGAGTTCAACAATGCAGGGCCAGCTTAGAGTACCTGACGCCAAAACTGGAAACCACTCCTGACTTGGGAAGTGGTAGTAACGGCAGGGGTGGCGAAGTGCACTATTTCACATACGACAAAGCTGTAAGGAATTTCAGTCTTCCCAAGTGAAGAACACCGTAACAACCAAGCCACATCTAAAAGAAACAGCGTGCTGTGTTCCGATCCTAAGAGACACGGATCATGCTTTGACTCACGTTTCTCCTGGACGTACAGGTAGCCCTCCATCGTCCACTGGCTGGGCGGGCGGTAATCTTGGTTGGCCGACTTCATCCTTTGCATCAACCGCTCTACCTCTTGTCGCGTACTTTCAAAATTATTCCTTGTCTTTAGTAAACAGAAACAAGAATTTCATTCACTGTTTCCTATCGGGGTTAAAGGCCTTCCCACCGATGTTTCAAAAGCACAAATGTCATAAAGGGGAGCGCTGATTCTTTTGGCACTATTACACACATTCAGATGCTGTGATGTTCAGTCTTTGATCTGAGTTTGAATTTTTTTAGTGAAAACTTCCTTAAATGAACTTCTGCACCTTTTCTCCTCTGAATATCTTTGTCTTGTGCTTAGGTGTGAATGTGTGAAAGGAAAACTTTATCCTCACACTCTAATTGTACTACTTAGAATTAAAAATAGGTAAGGTTTATTAAATATAGTTTTGAATTCTCTAATATCTAATATAAAAAAAGCATATATTTGACTTAATTCTTTTGAAAGAAAAAATGGTATTTTTGATATAAGTGGCACTGAGCAAATCAAGGAAATAATTTGCCACTCTTGTTTCAAAAGTTTTTTGAAGAAATATTATGGAGTTTGGTTTTGGGGAATAACAACGTAGTTATTAAAAGACAGGTATAAAATTGATTTATAAAAATGAATACATGTCCAAGTTCTGACTTCGGTTTATGCATACTAGAGCAAGTTTACCTAAGCAAGAGAGAGCACCAGGAACTTCTCTATGAAAATCTCTTTTGTGCTCAGATCACGTTACCTTACACGATACTGTATGTGTCTGAAAACATAAAAATCATCACCACCTAACTAAGATCTTGGTATGGCCCATAACACAAAAGTGAATCTCAAGGGAGGTTAGATAATTTTTCCTTTGACATTTTGCTATTTTTCTCTTTCAAACACAAGGAGTTAAGTTGTTTTTTTCTAATTTCTTCCTCTTTTCCCAATCCTGAATTCTAGGAATCTAAACTTAATTGCATTTAATAAGGAAATAAAAATGCATTGGCTTTTATAATTTTCCTACTTAATATTCCTTTTAACATTTAATTCTAACTGTATTTCATATTGAAAAACAATGGAAGTGAATTAAAGGTGAGACTTATTTTGCTAGAAAATCTAAAAAGATAAAACCCCACACTCCTGTAGAATAAACCCAAATTCGTATTTCCCAAGGGAAACTCCTGAACATCTCTATAATGACAAGGGCCACATAAGCGGAGAAACATGGTACTGAAGAAACTAAGTGAAGGCCTCCTATGTTATTTTCGTTATAGTGTTAGACACTTAGGGTTTCAGTTATGGAAAAAAATACAGGAATTAAAGTTTATTCTTCGTCAGGTTTGAAATGGCCACAGATATCCTCCCTCTATAACGGAAGTGTGTCTCATTAGTTGAAAATCAGACATTGTTAAACCATGAAATCAGTGATTAAAATGATTGATTAGACAACTTTACAAAATAAACTCAATAAGGCAGGTAAGTTGTTTGGAAATTATTCCCATTTACGCTTTAAAGCAGTTTTTGTTTTTTTTTCCTGTCTTTTTGAGACAGGGTCTTGCCATGCAGTCCAGGCTGGCCTTGAGCTCACTTTGTAGGCCAGGCTGGCCTAGAACTCGCAATGATCCTCCTGCCTCAGCCTCCTGAGTCCTGGGATTACAGGTATGTGCCACCATGCCCAGCAAGAATCTTTTTTTCTTTTTGGTTCCGGGAATCGAACTCAGGACCTTGCACTTGCCAGGAAGGCGCTTGTCCCGCTGAGCTATAACCCCAGCTGTATGTTTCAAAACCACATTCAAACCCTGTTATTTGATAATAATAAATATCACATATTTGATTAAAAAATTCAGAAAGAGATGGTACCTTACAATGTTAAAATGTACTACCATCATTTAACAAATGTAGAAATGTTATTCTCTCAACAAATAAGACTTGCCTTGGGCCAATGACTATTTTCTTCTAGCTTTGAGGTATAACTGACCAAAGTTATATGCAGTCAGGGCATACAACTTGATGTCTCGCTCTACCTACACATTGTAAAACGATTCCAGGAAATAAGATAACATACCCATTGCCACATTTGTGTGTTATGATTTGGGTCTAAATGTGCCCCTAGAATCTGTGTCTGGAGGGTGACCGGGTCGTGGGGTGCTGTGCTTGTCGGCGGATTCATCCGCCGAGTTCAGCGGCACACTGTGGGGCGGGGCTGGGGCCTGGTCCGAGGAGGGCCTCAGGGGTGTGCAGACGTGGAAGGTGTGCTCTTATCCCTGTGCCCCTCCCTGCCTCCTCCTGGTTTCCTGGCTGTCACAGAATGAGGAGGGGTCCTCTCCCAGGCCATTCTACCAAGCCTGTCCTTCCTGGGACGGGAACTCTGGAGTGAACCTGCTGGAAACGGTGAGCCCAATAAACTTCTCCCTTAAGTTGTGGGAGTCAGTGTGTGTGTGTGTGTGTGTGTGCGCGCGCGCGCGTGCGTACATGTGCAGTATATTTAGTTCAATGCTCTGTAAATGTCCAATTTCAAAGTATCTAATGTAAAGCTATTATCAACTATAGTCATCTGTACAATAGATGTCTGGAATTTATTCATCTTTGTATCGTTCAGTAAATTAATGAAAAGACTGGAAAAGATAAACATGTTCAAATTTCCGGTTGTCTGCATACAGGCAATATAAAATCTGCTAGTATCAAGCGTTCTAACATAAGCTTAGCTTCTTTTTTTGGAGTTTACTTATAGATAGAGCATCTGGCAAAAATATATTTATAAAGTAGCTTTTCTGAATTACAGGGATTTTACCACACTCTGCCAAGCTGCCGAAAGATTCTAAGGTTTGACTTGTTGTGACTATGCTGCCCCGCGGTCACGAGCTTCTCTGTGGAAAGGCAGGAGAAACGGGTGCAGTCTTACGTTCTGCAAGTTGAACTGCAGCTGTTGCTTATATGGTGCAAATTCTTGGGCAAGCTCATATCCCTCATGGTAAAAAGTAAATAAGCCCTGAAGGAATGACAAAAGCTGCAAAGACAGAGAGAGAAAAAACCATGAGAACTTTTTGTTTTAAAAAAAGATCATCCTTAAATGTAAAATACATTCACATCTCTTGTACAGAAGAAATTATATTTCATTCTATTTCCTCAAACTACAAAGCTTCAAACTTTTTGCTTGGTGAGGCAGACAACAAAATTATGCAGAGGAAACAAACCACAGCACTAAGTTTTATTTCCTTTTTTGGTAGACAATGATTTAATTTTTAAGTATGCCAAGAGCAACTGTCATACTCAGCTATTCAAATACATTAAAGAAATATCTACAAGGGGGAAATGTACCACAAATGAGGGTAAGACTAAAGTGAAATAGGTCCGCTGCAAAAGAGCTTCTAACCAAAATAGGGTGGTTAGACTAAGTGTAGGCATACACAAGACCAAACCACAACATAACAGGTTAAAAACAGCTAAGGGAAGGAATAGAAACTTCGGCCAGAGGAAAATAAGAAAAGTACCACAAGGGGGCAGTATTTGGCGTTAAATAAAGAACATTTTTAGCAAGAACTCAAAAGAGTTCAGCAAACAAAAAACATACTACAGATCTCCAACACAGGTCTTTGCTAACAGAATTAGAATAAAGTTTATTCCAGAAGAAAAAAATATCACCCACAGCAGCCTTCTAACATCAAATTCACATTGAATTCATTTCTGCTTGTATTTTTATCTATAAAGTAAAATTGTCTATGGCATTATAGAGCACACGATATGCTCACACGGAGTAAGTTACACGTGTAAAAGATTTTTAATTTTTAAAATTTAATTAACTGAGATTTTACTCCACAGATGCACCCACTAATTTAATCTCTGCTACAATCTCTGTCTACAACTTAATTATTTTAACTAAGGAAGAAACACAATTTGGAACCATTTTCGTACGTAAACATTGTCCCACCACTTCCTGTCTGTTGGGGGCACTGGGTTAAGCACTGACTGGTCAGTCTGTTATGATTTCCAACAACTAAGTACCGGTTGTGTTGAGAGATAATGACCCGATACTTCTCTTCCTATCAACAAGTCCATTTCACACAAAGCTTTGTTCATTTTGAACAGCCAACACTTTCCGATTGTTACCCTGTTGTACTTTAATTCTCGTTCAACAGTTCAAGAAACAGTTTGATATGACAAAATGTACTATTTGCCAATTGTAGAATATTTTTATATTCTCAATTTATATATTTATATATAAATATATATTTATATAAATATAATATAATATATATTATATAAATATAATATATAAATATATATTTTTATATATTTCTCAATTTTATATTCTCAATTTTACATCAACTGATAGTTACTGTCCAAAATAAATACTCAATAGAGCAAGCTAAAGATGGTGCTAAAACATATCCAACAGACTATCCAATAAAACATGCAGTCTACCTTAATGGAACCTATGTAAACTAAAGTGGAGCTGAAAATAGGATTAAAAATATTTTTAATTAGACTTTAAGTATACAGATTTAGCACTTTTCAGAGATGAAATATGGAATACTTTTGAAACAAATAGTGCTAGTCCTCTGAATAGCAGTACATTTATGAAGTTGTTGTTGGAGTACTGTTTCATGACAGCATTGGGAATTACTGTACAATTAAACTGTCTCACTCTAAACTGGACGCTACATGGAGCACACGCTGTTTTAAAATCTTGATAGGCATAAAAGTTAGTACAATTTATGAAGAAGATAAACTCAGAATATCTGTGACAGATTTTCCACAAACCAACTAATTGCCTATTCTGAGTGTCCAGACATTTGGAAGGAGAAAGCACCTTGATGCTTCTGAAACAGGAAGCAAACAATTTTGAATTTAACCAGAACATCATTAAAAGAATTTAACAAATGTTCAGTTGATATCCCTAGCCATGGAGGTTTATGAGGTATTTGGACTGTTCTGTCCTGGCTTAATACTCTGGTCCTAAAGCGATACACAATTTCAGAAGCCAAGTCATATAGAGAGGATGCTGGGTCCTCTGCTGAACCATGACTGCCTGTGAGACAGCCCTCCTCACCCTAACGCTGCAGCCGTGCTGAGCAGCATGCGAGTCTCCAAGGTAAAACTCTCCTGCGCAAGTATCCCGGCTGTGAGGTTCTTAATCTTGTTTTTAGAAATATGATTCCAGCACCTCCGTTTTTATTCAGAGTATTCTCCATCCTCAGCATCTTAGTCTTTTTTTTTTTTTCTTCAGTCCCGGGGATTGAACTCACGTCCTTGTGCTTGTCGGGCGCGCTGTGCCCTGAGCTAAATCCCCAGCCCCATCCTCAGCATCTTAGGATGCAGCAACTTTAATCAAGGAGAACATAAAGCCACTGGCATCTTTTAGCAGGATTCAGAATCATTTAGTAGCAGACAAAATGTTTTAAACTCACAACATATGGTAAGCAACCGCTAGGGAATGTACTACTCTACAGAAAATACATACACACTGTACATGAAGAACACACATCTTTTCTTTTTGTCCCACACTGCCTTTGGAAGCAGCTTTTGGGAAAGTTTAATAAAGAGCATGCATATGAAACAACTGTCTCTAGATGGCAGCAGAGTTAAGTTTTTTTGTAGGTTTGGATAAATACTCCTTTATTTCATTCTTGATAAATTCCATGATGTTAAACCAACAGGACTTAACAGGACAGCCTGAAAACTTTTTAAAATTGTACTCTGCATATATCATTTTCTTTGGTCAATGTATCTTAGTAGCTAGTGTCTGAATACTAGACAGATTAGGTTTTTCTTTTTTGTATTTAAGTAATCTTTTTTCTTTGAAGATTTTTTTTTCTTATTTTAAAACTAAAAGGAGGAAAACATTAACAGACAGACAACCTTTTACAAAATAGCAAAAGAACAGTAGAGACAATACAGAGTTACAAACAAAGTGGTAGGAAATTAACAATGCTTGTTGTATTACACATTGATATCTTCAAATTGTATTACATACTGACATCTTCATGGTTTCTCATGAAAACAAATAGAGACATGCATACTAAGGAATTCCTTTTTATCACTGGGAAACTCTCATATAGCACTATATTATTCCCAAGAGTTTTAGAATCAAATTACTGTCCCTTTAGTAACCTGACCAAAAGTAAGAATTTATATAGCACTTCTAATAGTTTTTAAAATGAGCTCATTAAAAGTCATCCAAGAAATATTCGTATTTTCCCACCTTCCTGATCACCAGATAATTAACAAAATGCAGTACAGATGTGGCACTTCCAAAAGGTCCACGCTTCAAGGGGCCACAGTCACCGATACTGTACAAGGCAGGGAAAAAAACAAGAGCCGAGAAAGGGGCTGGAGCTGGCACGAGGGCGAGGGGCGAACTCAGCAGCAGGACACACAGCAATTCCAGGTGCCTGCTGCCCACCCTGGGTGCGAGACCGGGGCGCAAACACTCGGAAGACAATGTGAGTCGTTCCTCGCCCGATGACTGTCAATTAACCATTTTCTTCAGCTTATAAAACGCCAAGGAAGCAGTGATGGCCCACAGGGAAAACACCAGCCATCACGCTCCAAATGTGCTCTTGGATTTGAGACTGTGCTTCTAGAGAGCCTTTGCAGCAGCCTTTCCAAAGGAGGAACGAAGGTTGCCAAACCTAATTCGGTGATCACACGGAAGTGCCAGACATGGAGCTACAGGATTTTGGGTTTGCTGGGTTTCAGTCTTGCTTCCATTTGATTTCTTTCTATCCTCCTGTTCTCCTTTTTGTAATGGGGACTTTTACCCTGTGCCATTGTAAGTTGGAAGTGTTTAACTTTCTTTTTGAATTTTATAGGGACTGAAAAGAGTTTGCCTTGAGTCTCAGAAGAGACTTTGGATTTGGACTTTTCAGCAATGCTGGAACTGTTAAGACATGAACTAAATACATTAAAGAGGTGTGCATGAGTCCTTTGGGGGCCACAGGTGGACTATCATGGTTCATATCTAGATGCTCTCCAAAGGCCTCATGTGCTCCTAGATGGAAATTTTGGAAGGTGACCGGATTTGGGGGCATCACAGCTGGCTTGCTGTTAGGAGGTGGGTAATGGAGCATGACCATGTAGGGTACATCTGTGTCCCCAGCTCCTCTCTCTCTGTGCTTCCTGGCTACAATGGGTTAAGCATCTTTTCTTCTGCAATGCCTTGGAGCCAGCCAACCAGAGACTAAACTGGGGGACAACAAAAATTTGCTCTTCCTAAGAGCATAACACTGGGTTTCACAAACACATCCCTTACTTTTCTACTGTAAATTTTTACTTTAGCATAATAGTAGCCAGCTGTGCATCTCAGTACCTTTGTCTGAGGAATAAAGGAAGCAGTCTTTGCGTTTACCCACTTGGTACTATGAAAAACAAGGTGTGTACACATGTGCAAAAGTTTTAAACCAGGATTTCCAATAATACAGTGTTCTGTTTAACAGATTTTGTGTATGTTTACCTGAGCATCACAGTGGGTGTAATACACCCACACCACTTTAGGATTTGTTTAAAAAAAGTCTTCTTTTGATTTTTCTGGTAGAAGTATACCAATTCAGTACAATGGCACAAGTCTGCAAGTTTTGGGGTGTCAAAAGTAAATCATTAGATTACTTGTAAATGGATGATGAAGATGATCCATTATGGTAAAATACATGTTTTCATAACAGAAGAGTGGTGTGGGTGTATGATGATGATGATGATGATGATGATGATGATTTTGACTTTGGTCATGTAAGCCAAAGTTCCTGTGACAGTGAAATGGAACATGAACTGACTGATACAGACACAGGGAGTGCAGACTTCCTTGATTCAGATGATGAAGAAATCAACAATGCGGGTACATATTTGACCAGTTGAAATGTTACAAAATGGTCTTGTAACCAAATAAACAGTCCAATGTTAGAACTCGGTCTGGAAATATAGTGTGGGTATTGGCAGGTGTGAAACGTATGGACAGAATGCCAGCACTGCCATTCAGTGTTGGAAATTGTAACAGATGAAATGCTACAAGATGCTATGGAATACACGAAGGCTGAAATAAAAGCAAAATGTTCTGTTTAGACCAACAGCAATAGTCAAAAATATATCTGTTATGACAGTTCACTAGCAGAACTGAAAGCATTCATAGGTTTGCTGTACTCAGCAAGGATTTCTCGGGGTAATTGCAGGAATGTAAAAGACTTATGGAAAAGTGATGGGTCAAAATGTAAGTCATAAAAAGGACATAAAAATGTATGTCCTTATAGATGGGAAGACTTATTATGCTTTCAATTTAGAAATTTATCCTGAAATTCATCCATCAGGTCCTTACTGGTACAGTTACACACCGAATGATGCTGTGAACAGAGTTATTGCTCCCATCTCACCAAACTAATCAAAATGTGACATTCAACAACTGGTTTACCAGTTTGCAGTTGAGGTTACATTTGCTAACACAAATTGACCAGCACAGGAACTATACAACACAACTTGACCAGCACAGGAACTATATGCAGAAACAAAGCAGAAATTCCAAACAAAATGTTGCAATTTCAAAACAGAGAATTGTGTAGTAAAATATTTGGATTTCAGAAAGATTTACATTCACCTCATATATGGCAAAGGAAAAAAAACTGGTACTGCTGATGTCAAGACTGCACTATGATGGAAATAACTGATAGAAAACCTCAACAAAATAGAAGCTTGAAATGGAAACTTTCTACAACAAAACCAAAGACGGAGTAGATGTTGTTGATGAGTTATGCAGCAACTGTGATGTCACTTGAAACACAAAGCACTGGCCAATGGCTGTGTTTCACTTGATCTTAAATGTGTGTGGCAAAAGCAGTTTGATAGTTTACAAAGAAAATAACAAGTGCAAAATACTATGGAGAAATTTTCTTAGGAAAACAGAACGAACATGCCATCAGTGTAAGTGGTATTTGTGTATGGAACATGCAATTTTTATGTGTGAAGACTACGTTGGGTGTGACAGCTGAAGCAAGGATTATTTACATTGTAGAGTTCTATTGATATTGTCATTGCTTTTATTTCTGATGTTATCCCTTAGGTTTTGTAAGCAAGTAATCAGGTGATGTTAAAATGCTGATGTCTACTGTAAACACTCTGTACACCTTTGATATTTTATTGAGATCTTATTTCCTGGCTAAGATTGGGTTGTACAACATAGTAGGAAGCTCCTGACAAAACAGGAAGAGAGGTGACAATGATGGCCTCCCACACAGGAAAGGAAAGTTAAGCACGTGTGCTGTCAGTGAAAGTGCGATGTGTGGATGGAACACGCAGGCATCATGGGAGGACACTGCCTAGGGCGTGACAGCGAGGCTGAGACTGTTTCTGTGATAGACTCTTGTTTGTGTTGACACTGTAGTTCACTTAGGTTTTTATTTCTGATGTTATCTCTTAGGTTTTAGAAGCAGCTGATGGGAAAATGTTCATGTTTATTCTAAATGTGCAAAATATATTAAAAATTGAATACTTTGTTTCATTGATACTTTTACCTTCCTGTTAACCACACATTGCACAATACAGTAAGAACTCTTGACAAAACAACAGGATGTCAAGCACGTCCTACAAAAGGGCTAGGAAAGCAACACAGCTGTGCTGTCAGGGTAGGCGACGTCACGCTGTTGTCACGTGCCCAGACTGCCTCAGGTGTAAGAACTGAAGATTTTTTTTTGTAGAGTGTTATTGGTATTTTCATTGTAGTTCACATGGGAATTTATTTCTGCTGCTCTTTTTTAGACTTTGTACATCAAAAACCAGTCAATGTTGAAAAATTTGATGCTTTTTTATAAATGCTCAAGACATACTAAAAATGCAATACTTTATTTTTGTGATTTTTTCCTGTTAAGCACTCATTGTTTAATATAATAAAACTCCTAAGATTAAAATTAATAATTCATCAATAGAAAAATTCTAAAGAATAGATGTGGGTTTGACACACCCACGTGTATGGCCTTTATGACAAAAAACTGTGTTATGCTCCAAGGGATTAAGCTGTGGTTGTTGAGTATTTTGTCCTAGTGATGAGAAGTTGATGAAGACAGATGGCTGGAGTAAAAAAATGCGTGAACAGCAAGTTTGGTAAGGACATGGGAAACGACCCATCATACAGTACCAGTGGAACACAAAGTACCACTTGAAACACAAAGTGAAATGTAAAGCCCAAGTCCAGTAGTTCTTCAGATGATCAAACATAGAATTATGTAATTCAGTAATTGTAGTGCGAGAGATTAAAATATGTACCTGCATAAGAACGCGAACAACATTGTTCACAGCAGTAAAAAGAATCTATCAAGTGATAGTAAGTGAAACAATGTGAAATTTTTTCAAATGTATGATCAAGAAATACTACTACTTAGTGTGAATTGCTATCTTCTACTTGTATTTTCTGCTCTATACCTTACAATCTAGAAGGCACAGGTTTTACCCCTCCAACATTCGCTTTCTTCAGTGCTCATTTGTTAAATTAATCTGGGCTAAAATTAGGAGAGACTGCTACAGTTCTGCAATGTGCAGCAAAGCAGATACAAAGTGGATTTATCCAAAATAAAAACTGCAAAAATATTAAAATATCCTCAAGTGCTTCTAAGTTTATAGCTCCCCTGAGCCTTGATCTTGGACTTTTAAAAGACTGTTCTTTCCAAATTATTTTGGAAATGTGTACGATCAGCATGCATGTTAAGAATTCACTTATCCCATTTATAGTCTTCTCATTAGTGAAATGAAAATTAAGTGGAACTCTATCAAGTGCTTTTGAGGCTAGAAATGAGGGTGGGACTAACCCGGCAGTACTATTTTGATTGGCCTGACAGTCTAATAGGAAAAAACACAGCAGCCAAGAAAATACTGTGGAAAGTACAAATTTAACATCAGTTTTGATCATGGTATCATAAGCAAGGCATGTGTTACAGAAGATTTATCAGAATACCACAGTCTGAAGCAAGGCAGATGGAACGGAAGAAGACACATTTCAGCTAAAGGGTAGTTTCCATTTTGCTATGGCTTCACAGGGATCCATGAATTCTTATCATTCTTCCTACCACCTGTGAGCAAACGCTTTCATAATCTTCTTTCCATGCATCTGATGTCATAGTACAGAACGGTCTAGTGCACTCTTCCCATACAAAATGGGCTCTAAAGAGACGTAGACAATGGAACAGGCTACCTCCTGGCACTCTCCCGGAAGGAGAGAGGCGTGCAGGTGTGCAGAGGTCATTCCAGGTGTGGGGAGGAATGACAGCACAGCACGTGAGCAGTGTCTCAAGGAAATGAGAACACATAAGGAGGAAATGTGCAGGAAAACACCAGAATTCATGAGTCTGACAGCTGGTGGCAAAAAGAGCTCAAATTCAGAAATACCAGGAGGCAGGTGCTGGGGAAGGAGTCTGCGGGCAAGAAGTGTGGCTCCGAGGCTTCGAACACCGTGGCGGGATTCTGGGGCGAGGCTCAGGCAAGGGGCCCAGGAACAGGGATCATCGTGGCTTCCGTCTTAGCGGAAGGGCTGTTAGGCTAAGTCACTGTCCCTGAGCCCGCAGTGAGCTTCAGAAGTCATACGAAGTTCAGTTAGACCTTCCCGGTTCTGCTACTCGTTACCAATTTATTCCAAGGAATTTAAGGACTTAGTTGTTTAGCGAGCAGAATTTGTCATTAAGTCTTTTACTCTAAATGAAAGGTGAAAGTTAAATCCCCCAGCTGGACTTACGGCCTCTAGTCTTTTAATCTTTCTAGCTCAGGCGTGGTCTTAGAAACTTGCTAAGAACGCAGTTTATAGGAGAGGCAGTGGCTGTAGCAAAGCAGCCCTGGAAGCCAGGGAGGGACCATATTTCCCACAGGCTCTGCTCTTCAACTTCGCATTATCTTCGGGGCACCAACTTTAGGGGCTTCCATTAGAAGATGAACTATGTCAAATACACTTTTAAATGCTGGCATCCTGTCCCTTCTCATTACTACCTACTAAAGTAGCAACAAGGTATTTCACTTTATTATACATTACCCATTTATTACTTATGCGTTTATTAATACTGTCTCCTCCAATGGGAAGTGAGATATATTTTTATACCTATTATCAGAAGATTACCTTGACTCCAGTTTACTTAATTATTACATAATTATTATGGATGCTACGTTATAAAGATGCTTATTTATGCACTATTATACATACTAGGGGATGATTTGAAAAAATGCTATGTTCTTCTCTGTGATGCAATTTACACGGAGAGAATCCACACGTTTTTACTCGCTTAGGAAAAGAAATGACTTCATAGGAACCGTCACGCACATCTTGCTAGGTATTGACAGGGATATAGGGGGAAAGAGCTTCAGACCTTCCCTGCCGGCCTAAAGCTTTGGTGAGCGGGTCACATTACCGGCAAGGTGTATTCACTCCTATATAGGTAACGCACATCATTTTTTAGTTTCAAAATTAACTCCTTTATTTTTAGAGTAGTTTAAGTTTTCCAACAAGCTGAGCAGAAAACAGGAAGGGTTCCCTGTGCGCCCTCTGGTCTTCCCTGTTTCCTGAGCCCCTGCTGTCCTCCACAAACAATGTGCTCTATTGTTAATACCTCGCATTCTCGTGGTAGATTTATTACAGTCGATGTGCCAGTACCAATACAAATTAAGTGAACTCACCGTGTATACTAAGGCTCACTTTGGTTCTGTATACCCTATGGGTTTTCATAAATGTATGACATAACACACTATTAAAGTCCCACAGTAGAACTCACTGTCCGAAAAGTGCCTTGTTCTCTGGCTGCTCATCGCTGCCCAGTGCACTTTCATTTTTATAGATTAGACTTTTCAACAGGAAATCATCGCACAGTTTATTTTCATAGGTTGCTCTGAGCCTACCTACTATGTTACAGGGAATTAAAAACTTACCGGCTCAACAAATTCAAACTTCTTCTTTTCTTGAACCTCTTGAATTTTAAAGACATATTCCAGCGATGCTTCATAGAAGTTTTGATGTTCTCGGTCAATCTGTGTATCTGCCTAAAGGACGAGAAGCAGGTGAGGCATGGCACAGGGAGGAATCACCAGTGGCTCTCCACAGAGGCAGTCCGTGAACACAGCACTTCAGAATTTTTATCGCAACAATTCTGCAGGAAGATTTAATATAGCAGTTTCGCAGCCCGTACTCACAAAAGCTTACAGTATATGGAGTCAAGAAACAGACACAGGACATGTCAGGAGTTACTCTGATGGGAAAGAAAAAAAAGCACTGCAAGGGTTTGACAGTCTTTCTGCAGGGTATGAAAGACCTTCCACCTTGAATAGCAAATCTGGGCATCAGCTGAGGGAGAAGCGTCTGAGAATACTAAGCAGAAGGGTTGCATTATTCAGGGAAAATCTTGGAAAAATAATATGGTAGCAGAACAACAAAAAAAAATCCAATAGCTGCGGCCTGAGGAGTCCCGCTCCACGAGGGTCAGGCGCAGGCGCTCCTTCCGATCGCAGTAAGGTCCCGTTGATGAGGGCTGCGAGAGTCACTGGGGGTTTCACGTTCTCTCTGACTTCACTTTTCACCGCTCTTCCGTGCCGTCTCCCGCCCAGGCCCAGGCCTGAAGCGTGACTGCAGTTCGCAGAGACACCGTTACTAGTCAGCTTCACACTTCTGGCTGACAGCTGAGAGGACTGCAAGCAGAGGACACGCGCAGGCCCTCTGGAGCACCCAGGGGTCCGCTTAAACTCGAGAACGGAAAACTGCTTCGGTGACATTTAAAACAGTAACTTCACAAAGGAAAAACTGGAAAAAAAAGTTTCTTGGCACGGACATCATCACATCATAAGATTTCATTTCAAGCTCCTTTAAAAATATCATCATCTGATGCTTTTAGTTACACACCAGGAATTAGGAACAACCCAACATTATCAGCAACTCACCTGGATTTTTAAAGTTGATAATTTCAAGTTTTTAAAGTAATTTATGTGAAAAATATAAAAATCCGGCTGAAGATTTGAATAAAAGACTTCTGAGTTCTCACAGATTGTTTAGGAAAGATCAAGGCACCGACTATAAAAATCAAAAGGAAATCCATATTCTACATAAACCATACCTCTTTTCTTCTTACCATCACTTAGGGAGAAATACAATTCATATATATATAAGAATGAAACTTAAGTTAGCAGTGAGACATAGACGGTGATATATACATGTTTAACAACTGATTTTTCTAGGAAGAAAAACCTGTTTGTAATTTTTGCTGCAAAAAACTTTCTGTGGTATAAACAGTCCCCAAATGAGCACTTCAAATCACAAACTCATTATCACTGAAGGCAGGCGTTGGGAAGAGACGCAAAACTGGGCTCTCCCGAGCAAGCTTCAGTATACCATGGACGAAAGGGATGCAAGAATATCTTTAGGTTCCGAGGTAACATTCTACTCTACAAGCTATTTTAAAAGTTGTATTTACTTTCGAATGTGATGACATTAACTGTGCTGCCTGGCACATTGGAAGAAACTTTTAACACTGCGACACCTTTCACGCCTACACTGGTTAGTTCTATTCAACAGGTTGTACGGAAACAGTTAATACAGCAGCAGGTCTGGGCTTCTATCTTTTGAAAGATCTTACAAAGCTGGCCCTTGGCTGACATCTGGGAATGCGAGCCCGGGAGGCTCGCTGATAAGAATGGCTCATACGCCTGAGCTGTACAAACAATATGGTTTATGCCAAATGCTTCCTTCCCTTTCGAGAGTGTGAAATCTGGGTAAACGCCAGGAAGAGCGGTACCCTACTGATGATCCTGCAACAGAACTCCGAGCAGTGACTTTCTCATGAACTTCCTTGGTAAGACAACATTTTACATGTGCTCTCACTGTTCACTGCTGGAGGAAGAAGGCATGTCCTACCCCTCCCCACTAAGAGACTAATGAGGTTAGATCTGGCTTCCCCCAGACTTTGCTCCAGGCTCATTCCCTTCGCCTGTTTTTCTTTCTATCCTATCACTGTAATAACGAATATGATTATACCCTACATCCTGTACGTTCTCCTAGGAAATCACCAACCACAGTGAGAATCTTGTGCACCGTGACCCAAGAGCATGAAGTCACTTCTTCAGGAATGTATTTGCTATGCACGGCACTATTCTACTGCCCCTCCTGGCAAAGGGCAGGGTGCAAAGAAAGAAGAAAAAGAATGATTCTTATTCATTGCCAGTTACAGATGTTTTCAAGCACCTCCCACCTAGATAACTGAAATTTGATAAACCAAAGCTGCTCTGATAGGCCATCCAGGGTGTGCAGTGCTTAAGGAATATGACAACTTAGTTATTTTCAGTACTAGATTTATAATGGCATTTTTATACTTGGAATAGATAATATATAATATAAGCCAACTGTGTGGTTCACTAGTGAACACTTGCTTATGTGTCGGCTAGCAACAGGTGCTATGTATCTGGTACTGGGTAAGTAGGTTAGTGAGATGGTTTAGCTTTCCAACTGGGGTGATTTCAATACTAACGCGGAACACTAACAATAATTATGTCAGAACAGCACGGGTACATTGTCCACATGCAGAAGTGACTACAATGTAGGAAATCAAATTCATTTCACAGGAAAACCACATGGTTCTACAGGTACCTAAATCCCTCCAACAGGCTACACTAAGCTGTCCTGACTTGAGATGGGGAAGCCACAGGTGATACGTGTTTAATCAATCCCGGAGGACAAAAGGTTAAGACAGCCTCTGAAGAATAAGCGGGCTTGGAGCAGGCAGAGAGATAAATGAGAAAAGTCAGAATGAAGGAATAGAGCCAGAAGTCAGATGTTTTCTTTGGGTTGATCAAAAGATACGGGACTGAATGCTCAGTTTGGGTCCATCAGAAATGACAGTTCAGATAGAAAAGCTGCTAACAGACTACATGCTGCAGATGTGCAAGCACTGAGGGTGATGCTGACAAGGACCCTGTACCCAAGAAGATGAAGAGGAGGATAAAACCGCGTACAGGGGAACATAAGATCTTTCAGTTGGTAATGGTGAAATGTGCAGCACACCCCTACAAAGAAAGGTAGCTTGCAAGATGAGAGTGTGAGAAGCAAGGGAAAAGATAAAGATGAATCTGACACAAGAATAACATCACCTTAACAGACAGCCACGGAAATGGGAGACAGGAGAAAATTCAGGAAAGATGATGATGGATAAGATCTCACATGTGTCACTGAGATTTGGAATCTAAAGCCTTGGTGACTCTGAGCAGTGTGAACGGCAGACATCCTCATGCTCGAGGAGACACGACAGACGACAGGGAAGGAGCAGAGACTTCGGGGGTATAAATGGCTGGGTAAGAACACGACTCCTGCAACTGAGCTGAAGGGATCTACTTCATTAGGGGCTGGGGTAAGAGGCATCTGTTAGAAGAATACTTAGTGGTGTGTGGAAACCTGAGGCACAGATTTCTAACAGGAATCTACTTTCCATTTTACTTTTCCTTCTAACTATAAAAGCAATAAATATTCATTATGCTAAGTTTATTCTTCATCACTACTGCACAGAAATGTGGAGTACAATCTCACTGGTAATATTTTGGTGGGTCACACACACAAATCTACTTCAAAACAAATCTGAGATATTATTGTATATGTCAGCTTAAAATTTATTTTGTTTTTCCTTGCTTAATCTCACCATATTTCCCAAAGTCTTTCAATGATTTTCCCTGTGAAATTTTTAACAGCCATATCACTTTCCATTTGTGGCCAACTATATTTGCATATTTATCCCAATCACTCTTTTGTGTCATTTCAGATGTTTCTAAATTTTTATGTTATGAATAATTTGTGTCTTTGTACAGTATTTATACAATTTTTGTGCACTTCCCTCAGGTAAATATCTATCGATAGAAATAAGCTCAACTACTTGACACAATTCAGATTTGTTGAAATATGAAGTCCAATTCACCTCAGGATGAGGAGGGGAGTAAGGCAGAATGGTCATGGGATTGAAAATGGTCGGGATCTGTTAGGCGCATGTTCCGGCTGTCCGAAATTGACACCACTATTCTATACTGCAAACATTAATACTAAATAAAAATGAAACAAAGAATGAGTAAATACTTTTATGTTCCCGTGAGAACAAAAGTATGTCTTGTTTCTGATGCTTCCACTAACAATGGTTATATTTTAATGAATTTAAGATGACATCTTATTACTAATTTGCATTATTTCAAACATATGACATTGTGATAATATTTATTATAGTTTATAGTTCCTCTTTGATCAGTTCTCTCTTACAACCTTAGTCTACCTTTTCTACTGATGTGCAAGTGTGTCTTACACATAAAAGATGGCAATCCCGAGTCATGTTCTATCAATGCCCTAGTGCTTTGGGATTTAAGTTTGTTTCATATTTTTTGAAATAGATTATTTTAATACATTCAGGTCCTTCTATATTCCCTTTATGATTTCTTCCTTTTATTTTCACCTTGGAAATGAATTATTCATTCACGTATCAAACGTGATTTCTTTTCATCCACTATAATTTTGACAAGTTTGTCCCCAGTTCTCTAACTATTTACTCCAATGGCCTGTCTAATTCGTGGCTCTGAAACTGGCAACACAAGCTGCCCTGTCAAGTCCGTTCTGAAACTGGCCAGCCACTTAGTTTCTACAGAAACATGAACAAGGAGTCGGCAGTCAGCACAGAGGGCTCCTTTCGAGAACACGTTAATAAGCAAGGTGCTGACAGAAGAGCCAAAGCTCCGCAAAGGGACAGATGACAGTTAACGCCCCGGCGCAGAACTGAATGCTTGCGCAGCAGCACCTCCCTCTGACAGGTTTAATTCTTGGCGGGGAAGAGGGGAGAAACGCCAGGTCATATTTTCTCCTGTCTGCACTATATATCCCTAAGGAGCTGCTTTAACACAGCCTAGGGTGTGTTGCGTTAAGGGCTGCACCTCCTGGCAAAGAAGTGTGAACGTGCTTGTGCATTTATGGAGCGAGATGGGGAAGAAGATATTACTAACTGTATTAGTTTTCTCTAGCCTCCAGCCCAACACAGAACCAGAACGAGTACCCTATTGTACCGAAGCCTACAGGAGTGCGGGTGACTCCAAGGACAGTTACACACGGAGCACAGCTGTCAAGCAAAACTGTAGCATGTCCTCTGAGGGGCTTTACAGTTAGGATAAAGTTACTATTTCCTTGAGCGGGTTTCAGCAACGTCTTGTCTAAGGGTAGCCCCTCACATTCACCAAGAATCCAAAGTTCTTTAGGGACTCTAAAAACCACCGTGGATTTTGAGGCAATCGGTTTTTACAAGGGCCCCTGGCCACAGTCCTCGGCGTGGCGGACGGCTGTGTACGATGACAGCCACGGGGCCTCCTTCCACCTTCTCTCTGAAGTCTGTTGTAGCACAACATATAACAAGAGGTACGGGGCTTTAAAACATTTGGAACGCATAAACAGAACATTAAATTACAGTAAGCAATACCATATCCCCGTAGAAGTCAATATGTCCAAGAAATGTAAAACTGAATCTAGTTTCCTTACTGGCAGATTGTCTTCCATCTCACTTCAGTGACGCGACCTTTGCATATGAACAGAACTGTAGCAAAGCACGTCTCAACATGGAAGACCCAGATTGTAATGAACTCAGATACACATACCAAGCAAAGCCCATTTTCCCAGTATGAATCAGCTGTAAATGAAGAAACCGGGTGTCTTCAACAGGAACACAGGTATTTTGGAAGAAAAGGGAATCAAATGCTGAAATAATATTCCTAGTCCTTTTTGACTCTGGAAATTTTGACACTTGCAACTTGTTAAGCATGAGCTATGGCTAAACTTGGAAGCATGGGAATTAAGAAAAGGGATACGGAGAACAGAGCACAGAGAACCGGGATGAATGTAAAAAGGAGTTCAGAGAGGCTTTGCCAGGAGGAGGATGAGGATGACACATCTGATCATAGGTCTTCACTGTGAAGCAGACAAGTGGGGGAAACAGAGGCCTTAAGAAAGACTGGGAATGGATCCAGACTGCCTGTGACGTTTTGGGCGGTGGAGTGCGCTGTGGGTGAGCCACCTCAGCAACTCCCCGCCCCCCCCGCTTATCCCCCCATTGCATGCTGGGAGAATTAATGTACCAATGGCAGGGGAGTCTTATTTTCTGACACACTCCACCACCAAAAGTGGAATTGCGTTGTTGCTTAGTGGAAGGACAACTGTTGATTTTTCATATTATAGTTCCAATGCTGCCAATGGAAAGAGTAAAATATATTTCAGACAAAGGGAAGCAGACTGCAAGACTACGTTAGTAAAATATTCCTGCTCTTTTGCTCTTAAAGAAAACTGAAAGTAATTAAGATTTTTAAAGCACATACCTACGTATCTCTTTCTTCCAGTTTGAACCAAAGCTTTAAAAGCAATGGCACAGATTTTTAAAAATTTACCATAAAATGAACTGGATAGGACTTACCTCTTTAAAATATGATCAAGAAGAAGAAACAAATCTTGTCTCAACCCTTCTAACTGTTGAAGGAAACACTAATCTTTCACTTGGAGCCACTAAGTTGTATAATGGGTCCAAAGTCCTGTCCACAACAGACTCAACAAAGTTGGCTACTGTTATTGTCACTTTATTAAAAGCTAGGAAATTTTGACTTTGTGTGTTAATATTAATGCTTTTTCCACATTTCAATGGGGAAAGCTTACCTCTTGCAAATGAGATTCCTTTTTCTTCGCAGACAAATTCAAATGCTTGTCAAGAATAGAATAGTATTTTTCACTTTCCTTGTCAAATTTCTTCTTTCCTTCCTAGGGGATAGCAATTACAATTAGAAAGATTTAAATCAGGGCATCAAAGAAGCCTTCATTTTCTTAGTGCTCTCCAAGAGTCCAACCTAATTATTTAATAAAAGGTTTTCATAAGTTTCAACTATGTACAAAACCTTTATTCAGTAGAGTCTTGTAGGTGGTTCAGATGGGTTAGCATACAACCAGCTCAGAGAACCACGCACATAGACTATTTTCATGGAATCACGTATTTCCCACCCATGTTTTCAAGTGGCTAAGTTTTGCTAGAGAGGGAAAGACTTTCAAACGCTAGACCCCTCCAATAAATAAAAAAATTCAAGGTCACATCGAAAGGACTAACATCTGTACCACATATTCCTGATTTTTATTTCTAAAAAATCAGTCTTTTTTGGCAGGTGGGAGGAGACTGATAACAGGATGGCCTTTTTATGGAAGACGACAATAGCTTTTTTTTTTTTTTTTTGCACAGAAATGCAAATGTAAGGAAATACTGAAGGGAACAGGAACACGGGTATATAATCTTCTGAAGCTATAAATATTGTACCACCAGGCATGTCTTTTCTATTTATGAATCCATATAAAAATACTAATTAACTGGATGCACAAATACCATTACTCAAAGAAATACCAGTCCCTGCTTTGGTTTCCGTGTTTCTGAAACTGCAACCTCAGGACCACCCGAGTCAGAGTCAAGTATTCGTGGCTTGTTCAAAATGTGCAGGCCTACTTTCCTTCACCCAAAGATGCTGGAACTACTGCTTAAAATCTCTGTGATTACTATGCATAAAGCTTTGTTCCACTATTTGCATAAATCTGGTTAAAAATAACAGGTGGGTGGATGGACAGAAGGAAGGAAGGGAGGAGGAAGAAAGGAAGGAAGGAATGTAGAAAGATGAAAAGAGAAAGGAGGACAGAATGAAAGGAGGTCAGGTAAGGAAGGGGGAAGAAGCAGACGACCTCTAACTTGGGGGTCTTTCCCATTATTCCAAGGCTGTCAGATCCAAGTTGATGTACCCAGGTAATGCTATTTTATTCCACCGGCATTCTGAACTTTCTTCCTAAATATACTTTCAGGGTCACATCCTGATCTGTTTCCATATATGGAATTTTAGGAAGTGAGCTGATAAAATTGAGTTGAATAGGAGGGTTCTGCTCTAACAGTTCAAGTGAGTTTCAGACCACTTAAGAAGTGTCGAGAGGTTTGTGCATTAAAATACTATATCTGAAAATGAAAGGGGAAGAAGTCAAACCCTTCAAGGTGCTTTCATTACCTGAGGAGAGGAGAGAGTGTTGTCTTATTAAGAGAAGCAAAACTGGAAAATAAGAATACCATTTCCATTCAAAAAAATGTTCTGAGGAATTTACAAAACAAAATACGAAGAAAGAGCAGACTTAAGCAGAGAGGCCCACAGTTCGGAACAGGACGAGACTGATCTCCGTGTGGTCGGAACAAACAGCGAGGTGCACACTTCGTCTTCTCCTCAGCTGTTCTTATTCTTTCATGTGGAATCGCACGCCTGTGACTAACCCGTCCAACCCCCTTTCCAAACGCCGCTCTCATGCTCCCTTTTGCCTCCCTAGTCACGCTCCTTTCTGTCCTTCTCTTAGTCCAGGCCAACCTCGCTGTCACCAATGCTCCTTTCTCTCAAGTTCATATTCGATTTATATCTGCTTTCATCCAATAAGCCTCGTTCGCCAGTCCCGCCTATCAGCACTCCCTCTTTCCGTGTTCACGCACCCATGGAAACGAGTGTCTCGTGGTGTCCACGCTCTAGTGTAGCAGAGATGTTTACGTACGTGCCCCACCCACCCTACAACTAACACGCAGCGAGTGACCACAGACCCTTAGTGAGGAGTGAAATTCTCTCTCTTACACTTTCGTGCACCACTGTCCCTCGCAGATACTCTTCTTTGTTCGATAAACTGCTACCCATGATGCAAGGGGCAATTCTGCACAAACAGCCCTAACCCAGACCCAAAGACCTCAATGTGAGTGGGTGGCAGCCACACTTGAGCGAAGTCCGCAAGACTGACCGTCATGTCACAGTAGGGGCTGACGAACTGCCGGGACACAGGACGGGAGGAGACTGGTCTCGGGACTGACGCACAGCCGCGGCGACAACAGTCGCTTGTTGGCTTTCAGCTTGTGTTTGGTGACGTTTTCGGAAATGCTGCTTCGATGCCAACGTCAGCCTTCCTGGCAACACAAGACTCATTCCTAGAACCACTTCCTGCATTCTTATTCAAATTTTGGACCTTCACCGGCCAAAAAACAAAAATTTACTCAAAGGTTCCAGGGATGTTGACAACAAAAACATACTCAGTTTGAGCATAAAATAAAGAATTGAGCTTAAAAGACGTGACCACATAAAGGACAACTATCATCTAGGGAAGCAGGTTCCAGAACACAAAAAGCGCTTTTCCCTGAAACTCACATCGCCCTGGAAGCCATGATTTACTGCTCACATGAGCCAAGTGTTATCCGCACAGTTCTCTCGTCTCCTGTATACTTGTTACGCACATCAAACTAAAACTTCCTCTGAGGGCAGTGCTGGGGAAGGCAGGCAGAACAGTCCATGAATGAATCTTTACTACATGTTGTGCATAATCACTGTCTTACTGCTACAGCAAGATTAGTTTTAAAAAGGAAGACTACATATTATCATGTTATGTTTTCCTGAGATCCATAGAAAGTATATTCAAATTAGGTAATCCGTTAAAAGAACACCAGAAGAAAAAGCAGTTTGAGAGGAAACAGAAGACTGCTAAGATGGAAGAGATGGCCTACAAGACAGGTCTACAAACATTTACAAAGTGCTAGTATTAGCTAGTACTGCTTTTGGTGTATCAGATGCTGCCATTACGTGCCTATGCAGAAGTACAACTACAGAAACACAGAGACGGAGGACAACTACTGTGTAAAATAGACCAAAAGTACATAGTAAATTAGTCCCTAAGCCCGTGTACCGTCAGTATAAGGTAAGTTACACCCCGGCCTGTAATCAGTTAGTGTGTTTACCCTAAGCTCAGAGACATTATCACATAATCGCTGTGATTGTGCCCCACCTTCACTTTGCACGCTCAGTGAGGGATAAGAGGAAACCACTGCAGAACAAACTCCCTGGGTCAGCTTCCCTAGCAGCACTGCTATGTATAGCAGGAGATGTGTGAAACATTTAAAAACTTTCAGACATTTCTCAACCACATCTATACACTACACTGCACAATATTATTAAAGACAAGGCTATTCAATGCTTTCTACTGACAAGAGGGTACTACAGATGAAGAACAACAGACTCTACCACAATATTTAGAGAATTCAAATAAATTCTCAAAATGTCACACAATCACACTTTCGTATAAAAGGCTATTATGAAGTTTTAAGTACTAGTACGAGCATCCAATGTTATAAATTTTAAACAAATAAAGAAGTGAATAAATATTTTCTGTATTTCTTTAAGAAATGGAACACACACTTTGGATTGGTTCATCCTATATTTCATGTTTCATCTGTAAGTCACTCAGGATACTGGGACATTTCCCATGTAAGCAACAGAGTCATCATGGTGCTATAACCATTATCTACCTAAGTACTACTTCTATGTTGTAAAACTTCAACTTAATATGCAACATAGAAATAATGATATGAAAAATAAAAATAGGTAAATTTCCATTGCTAAAACATAAGAATTACTAATTGGGAAGCCCAGTAGCCACCTCTAAATGCACTTTTTTTCTGTTTTGATGGCAGTATTTATTTTCTGCTTCAAACAGTCACCCGGAGTGGCATCAGTACTTCTGATTCCCATTAGGGGCATCTCCTAAGACAGACCAACCACACGATGCTCACGGTTTACAGAGGCCCAAAGGGTCTTGCCATCCGGAAGCCCAGCTGTGTAGTGGGCATAAAAATGTCCTTCTTGGGGGCCGTTCCACCCAACACTTTCCCGTTTCCCATCCCTTTCGGCACCAACTCCCCTATCCATCAGCTGCTGCAAAACAGACATTCCAAAAGGGCTGTTTCCCAGGGTCATGCCATCAGAATAAACTACATCTCCCTCTTTCCTGATTAGACCATCACAACCAGGTGACTGGATTCACAAGTGCCAAAGGACTGCACACATAAGGTACTCCTACAAACCAGGCAGAAGAACAAACAAACGACATGTGTCAAGGACAAGAAGAAACAACACACAGAACAGGAAACCCAAATGTAACAAGCATACGAAGGGTTGCTCAAAACCGTAAGTAATTGGGAAAAAGCAAACCAAACCAATGAAATATTCAATTATACCTACTGGATGCAGACAAGAGTTAGAAAGTCAAGTGATGCCATGTGCTGTGTGCCCATGAAAACAGAGAACCTTGTGTTCCAGTGGTGGGACTGTAGAAGGATGCAGCCCTTCTGGTGAGAGGTGTTGCACTGCCATGCAGGATGCACGTGTCCTCAAACCCAGCTGCGGCTGTACGTGCCAGAAAGAATAACAGAATGCATTCTACGGTTATGCAGATTGCTCACAAGTGGGTTTTTATTAATTAATTCATCCATTTAAGTCTTTTAAAATGCCCATTTTATGACTGGTCCTGATGCGCTGGGCAGACAAAGCCTAGAAGACGAGTAAAAAGAGGGAGCAAAGGTGAGTGCTGACCCTGGATGCCGCCAGAGGCCTCAAAAGCACACTTCCGGATGTGTCCGGGCGGGTGTGGGGCGGGACCGCGGGCACTGTATCTGGTCCCGGGCCCCTTCCTCTTCGCTGCTGCTCATCCCACCGCTTTCCCAGTGCTGTGAACTAAGCAGCGCTGTTTCACCACCCCCTTCTGCCACGATGCTCCCCTCTTGGAGCCCACGGACCAAGGCCTCAATCCTCCTCTTTTAAACTGTGAGTGTTGGGTAATTTATCCCTGTGAGAGAAAAGCTAATACAGTGAATATAATCAATCTAAACCGTACGACCACAAAAATATTACCAGAGAAATGAAGTCATCTGAACAAGATCAAGG